ATTGAGCTTGTCACTGGGACCCACGGGCCCCTTTCCACAGAGCTGCTTCCCAGCTGGGTAGATCCTAGGCTGTGCTGCCCTCCTGGATTATGTTGTCCTGTGTGCAAGACCTTACAGTTGTCCTTGTTGCTTCAGAGAATAACAGAACGGCCTGGGTTGGAAGGGACCTTAAAGCTCTTCTCATTCCAACCCCCCTGCCATGGACAGAGACACCTTCCACTAGACCAGGTTGCTCAGAGCCCCATCCAACCTGGCCTTGAATCTTCTCCAACTTCTGGCAGTTCAAGTGAACTTAAATCAAGCAATTTCCCATAGCCAAAAAACTTGTTTCCTCCTACAAAGCAGGCCTGTGAAGCACATCTTCCCTCTGCAGAGGTTTTTGCACCTTTTGGTCCCCTTGCTCCTGCCCTTGCTGTCAGTTCAGTGCAATAATCCTGGTCTGCAGTGCCAGTTTTGCTGTGCTGCTTGTCACCGTCTGTTTGAGTTGAAGCTCCAGGTTACAGACTGCGCAGTCAGTTCAACACTCTTACTTCAGTTCCTTTACACCTCTTGGGTAAATACCATCTGATCCCCCTGGTTTGCAACTGTCTCAGCTGTGTTTTCCACACCGTCTGTTGTCAGTTCTGTCCCATAACCTTCTCTGACACCCTCCTGGAGTCTCGAAGGCAGTTTTCCCTCAGACTGTGGTGCTCAAACCTGAAGTGGAGCCATGAGCTGAGACCTGAGGAGAGCAGCAGTATTACCTGATGTCTTACACATGGTCTTCCTTGGTATGCATGCCATTATATTTGTTTTTTTTTTCATAGCAGCATAGTACTGCTGTCTCACCTCAGTGTGTAATCGAGTATTTTTTTTTGCTTCCCATCCCATCCTTTCTGCTGCCTTATGTGGTTTTAAGTTTGGTAACTTGTTTGCTGGAGGAAACTTTAATGGTTGCAAAGGGTGGTGAATTGATGGGTTTGAAGATAGTTGGCTTGTTGTTTCGAAGCGTGGAGCCCACAATACTGAGGTGACCAGCATTATATACCTGCTCTGGACTCAAAGATGGTCCAAAAAGTAGAAAAGTGGATTGCAGTATCTGTGATATTCTTTTTTCTTAACTGGTTTTTGGTTGTTGGTTTTTTTGTGGTTGGTTGGTTGAGGGTTTTCCTGTTTTCTTGTGTTTTAGCATTTGGGGTTTTTTTATGTTTGTTTTGTTTTGTTTTGTTTTGTTTTCAAAAAAGGGGACCCATTTTCAAGCTGGCTGCTTCCACATGCATGGTTCTCCCATTAAAACCCGACCTGAGCTCTCCAGTTAGAGCAGAACACAACATTGCAGTAAAACCATCACTGCCCTGGTGTGGGGGAGGATGTGGGGACATGGAGATGAAGATGGCTGAGCATGGTGGTGTCCCCCTAAGGCCTCCTACCAGGAGCAAAGATGCTCCCAGGCTGCATGAGGGGAATGCCAAGGCTGTAGAGGAGAATTTGTAGGCAGAGGAGGAGCAAACCATCTGTGCTCTGATTGCCCCAGCAGGCTGGGCATGGTGTGTGGATGGATGGTGCCCTTGTGTGCAGGAGGACAGATGGCACACACTGCTCCCCAGATCCCACCATGACCCTCAGCACTCACCTCTAAAGCTCTCTGAGCACCTTCAGCTTCATGAGATCGGGCAGAGAAGGGCTGCAATGACACAGGGTTGGGACGTGTGGAGCTCAGCCATCATGGGTGGATGTTTTCATGCTGGAGCCATCAGGATTTAGGGCCTGGAGACCCAGGTGGACAAACAGAGGTGTTGCTGGTGGAGACTGTGCAATCTGCTGGGCTCCCTTGAACCCCCTTGCAGGGACCCCATGGGGCAGCAAGCCCTGGGCTCTTTGCAAGGCAAAACTGGGCCATCCCTGGCAACGTAACCCAAACACACCGGGAGCAGAGCCCTTCAATGGGAGGCAGGAGCCTGCTCTCTTGGTGATGGGATGCTGCCCTGCCTGTGACTTGGAGCCTTCCCAAGCGGCTGTCAGTCAACATTGCTGGCCCTGTTCTCACTCACACACAGTATTATCTCTACCCGCTGCTGCAAATTGGCTCTGAGCAATCCTTGATCTGTCAGCATCGCCTACCCACTCTCAGATGTCACCAGCCCCCGCTGCTGCCCTGCTCGGTAACGTGTCTCTCTGAAATGTAATAATTCATTAAGTTGAGATTAACTTTTTTTTTTCCCCACTCCCCTTTCTGCCACCCCTTCCTGCTTCTAATGGACAAAAGCAATTAAGATCCATTAGGGATCAAGTGTGTGGGAAGCGACTCCCTCCGAGACGCTGCCGCAGCTGCACGGACCTTGTCCCTGAATGCCTGTGGCACCAGCCTCCTGCAAAGTAGTGCTCTGTGGGCAAATGGTTGGGTAGGGGGAAAATGCTTGAGGAGGTGGGCTCTGGAAAAGGTGCTCCCATTCCCTTCTTCAGCAAAAGGTGACTTGAGGCTCAGCTGGTCCTTCTGGATGGCTTCTCTCGCCGTGCAGCAAGAGGAGGCACCAGCCTCAGCAGAGGAGGAGATGGAAGACAGGGATGGCAAAGCAGGAGGTGGCAGAGTGGCCTGATTCCCAGCTGGTGTAAAGCAGGGGAAGCTTACCAAGTGCTTCCAGTTGCAGGCAAGCTGAGAGAGCTGGGGTTGTTCAGCCTGGAGTGGAAAAGGCTCTGAGGAGACCTTAGAGCCCCTTCCAGTGCCTAAAGGGGCCACAAGAGATTTGGAGAAGGGATTTTGGACTAGGGCCTGGAGTGGCAGGACATGGAGGAATGACTTCAAACTGATAGAGGGCAGGGTTAGGTCAGATATTAGGAAAAAAATCTTCCCTGTGAGGGTGGGGAGGCCCTGGCACAGGTTGCCCAGAGAAGCTGTGGCTGCCCCATCCCTGGAAATGTTCAAGGCATGGTTGGAGGGGGCTTGAAGCACCCTGGTCTAGTGGGGGGTTTCCCTGTCCAGGGCAAGGAATGAGATGGTCTTTAAGGTCCCTTCCAATCCAAATCATTCTAGGATTCTATATGGACAGGATCTGGCTGGGTAAAGTGCTGCCAAGGTGCTGGCTGACATGGGGTTATGGCCTGTGGGGCAGAGGTTCAGGCTTTGGGAGGACCAGAGGACCAAACCAGAGGAAGACAGTCAACTTCCCCACTGACTCAGACTGCAAATGGCATCTTCTCATTTTTTGACATCCCAAATTTGCAAACAAAGGCTGGTGAAGAATGATAGCACAGCCAAATGCTCCTGCCTTTCCTCCAGATAGGGCAAGGAGGGGTTTTGACATGGCCTGCCCAAAACTGAAAGTGCATTTCACTGTTGGCTGTGGGAGCTCCTTCCTTCTCCCCCATCTCCTCCCACCCTCCTTGCCTTCACTTAGGCTGCTTTTCTCTTCCTTGCCTTTTGTTCTCTTCCCCTTCCCTGCCCTGGGAAGAAAGTTTTATTTCAGCCTGAAAGCCAGTGCTGGAGGGGGAGAGTCATTTGGTGCTTAATGCCAGAGCGGCAGGAAACTTCACCTTCCTGGGGTGGAATTAAAAACACTTGAATTGTCTGGGGACCTTAAACAAGAGATTGCAGGGAACATTCAGGGCTTTCCACACAAACACATGCACACACACACACATGTGAGAGCCCACACAGCGTCAAGGGTGTAATAGCTCAGCTGGGGTAATGCACTTGAACTCTCTCTGCAGCAGACAGACCAGTCCTTTCAATTCTTTTGAACATATTTTATTTTTCGAGGCTTGAGATTGCTGCTAGTCTCTGGGGAGAGAGATGTTCATCTTCCAGAGAGAACAATGCCATTTGTTCTTTGTAATCATGCTTCCCTCAGGGCACCATGGGACCAGGAGGGGGAATGAGGGCATGGGCTGGAGTTCTGTGGATGCTGGGACTTGGGGATGGAACAGGGAGCTGCAGCCAGCAGATTGTGACCCCCTGATGTTGTGGCAAGGAAGGAAGGGTGTGCTGGGGGGATGTCTGGTATTAGGGATGCTCCCCGTGTGCAAACGTGATCATCAGTGGAGGTGTAACTTTCGGGTCAAGGTGCCCCAGGTATATGGTGTGTGCAAACATGGGGTGTGGGACCTCCTAGAAGCAGGTCTGGCCGTGTCATCTTACATACAGCCCCTGGTGTGGGTGTAGATTGCCTGCATTGCCACTCCTGTGTTCCCTGCCAAGTATTTCCATTTTTCTGTACTTTGCGAATGGGGGTGTCTTGTCACACAGCTTTGGGCTGGGCTATAGGTGTAATCCTGTCTTGTGTACTGAGGAGTGTGTTTATCTGTGTGCTTAGGGGTGCATGTGAGCACGTGGTTGCTACTGCCTCTGTGCACCATGTATGTTGGAGGCTGCAGCAGGCACAGCATTAGTTCTGGCCAGTGTTGTTCAGTGTTGGATATGCCCCAGTCTGCACAGAGCCCCTGTGGTGCTGCCTGACCTCCTGCCCATTGCAGAGATGCCCCAAGCTGTTGTCCTCTTCTGGGCTGGTCATTACACCTGGACAGTTCTTGTGAGACACTGAAATCCAGAGGAGGACAACAGGGATGTCTCAAGTCCTGAGAAAATAATCCAAGGAGAAACTGGAAAGAAAAGGAATTCAGAGGAGGAGGTAAAGGCAGGGGACATGACCTGCCCTGCTCCATCTCCTCACTGTCTCTTCCCACTGCCTGGTTTTTATTCCCTGAAGGGACACACAGAAGCCGAGCCTGTTTTGGAGTTGGGTGGCACTGGGAGCATCATCCCTGAATGGTGGCAGCTCCCAGCTGGGGCATGCAGGACTCAGCAGTCAAGCAGGGGGTTTGCTCGTGTCCATCCATGCCTCCTTTTCTCCTCCCCGATCATTCACCCATCCCCTGGCCGTGCTTTGGCCAGGGATGGCTGTGCATCTCCCCAACAATCACCTTGGCAAACCCTTGGTCCCTGCCGTCCCCGTGGTTCTCCAGCCCCCTGCACATCCTGCTGCCCGTTGGACCTGCTCTCACCACTGCCTTCTGCCCTTCCCCAGGGAGTTTGCCAAAGAGCGTGAGCGAGTGGAGAACCGCCGAGCCTTCATGAAGCTGCGGCGCCAGCAGCAGATCGAGCGGGAGCTCAACGGATACCGGGCATGGATAGACAAAGCGGGTAAAGGCTGGGGGGCCGGGGGGCTCCAGGGGGCACCACAGACTGCTGGTCATGTGGGGTGGTGGGGCTGGAAGGGGATCCCTAAGCGACATCCAGTGCAACCCCGAAGTGGCTCAGGGGGTCCCGTGGTGATGTTGGGTGAGCTCGGTGTGACAGCCCGGCCAGGCTGCAAACAAGGACATCACCAACCGCTGATGAAACCTCTTGTTCTGTGGCATGAAACTGTCATGTTCTGAGCACGAGGCGTGCTGCATCTCCAGGGGAGGCTGTGAGCAACACGGCTGTCAGCTTTGCTCTGCAGTGGTTTCCTTTCTCTTGGCATTTGCTAGAGTCCCCTGCAGTGGTGGGCAGTGGGGATGTAGAGCAGTGAACGGTGAGACTGGTTTTCCAGTTAAATCTCCTCCTGGAGCTGTCTGGAGGGGATGCACTTACTGGTTCCTGCCTTGGGGCTGGTGGACCTGAGCAAGAGCTTGGGGTGGTGGAGGTTCCAGGCTTCCTGCTGACACCCAGCCAAGTGTGACAGCCTGTGGGTGTTGCCACAGTCCATGTCCTTGCTTGCTCCTCATAGGAATCAGGTCAGGGCGTTGAGCTCTGTGAAGGGAAGATTTACACTTTCATCTAGCATTCAGACTTCTAAAATATGGGTATCTCGAAACGAGCCCTGAGTCCCAGACCTTAGTTTTGGCCCTGGGTTGGGTTGTAGAGCCCCTGACCTGACTACAGTGGTCAGCTTCATGGTGAGGTTAATGACAGTGGAGGGAGAAGGGACGATTACAAGTAATTTTTCTTTCTGACCCAATGTGTGGTAGCTGCCACTTGCTACCCTCCTAACCAATACTTGATAAGAGTTTGCAACCTAGAGCCAGCCTCTGGGCTGGGAAAGGTGATTAGGTACAGGGCAGTGATGTCTGATGGTGTCTCATCTCCTGATGCTGAACTGTGTGTTTTGCATAGAGGAAGTCATGCTGGCTGAAGAGAACAAAAATTCTGGGACCTCAGCCTTAGACGGTAAGACAAGCAATGCCCTTAAAATCTGCCTGCTCTTCCTTCTGCCTGCCTAGTTGAGACAGGAGGTCTGGGGGTGCCTCAGTGGAATCTGCAGCCCATGAGGGGGGTGTGGGGAGGTGGATTGACAGCTTAACCCCTGAGCTTAACCCCTCTTGCCAGACCTAAGCACTGGTCACCAGGTCCTGGTTAATGAGCTGGCTGCTGGCAGAATTTTGCTGCTGTCCAACACCCATTCCTCTTCCCTTCCCAGTGCTCAGGCGAGCCACCATCAAAAGGAACCGGACAGATGCCATGGGCTCGAGTGACGAGCACTGTGTCGATATCTCCTCCGTGGGCGAGCGGAGGCTGGCACAGAGAAGACCTCTTCATCCAACCTTGGGTCAGTGCAGTTTGCAGCTTGCTTCCCCAAAACCTCTGCCAGCTTATTGAGTTGCCAGAGTCACACCCATCACGTGGAGGCTGTCGCCTGTGCCACTTAATAACCATTTGGATAAGTTGTGTCCCTTAAGAGCCACCTGTCCTGTCTCATGTTGCAGGGAAGGCTGGAGCATCCAAGTCCCTCTCTCACCTTGACTGGAGCACCCAACTCCTTGTCCCCTCTCTTTTCCTTTAGGTAACCCCTTGAGTCAGTCTGGCCTCAAAGGTGCCAGAATGGACAGTGCCTCCTACTTACGACACAAGGAACGGCTCCTGCGCATCTCCGTTCGCCACATGGTGAAATCCCAGGTCTTCTACTGGATCGTCCTGAGCCTGGTGGCTCTCAACACCGCCTGCGTGGCCATCGTCCATCACAACCAGCCAGCCTGGCTCACCCACTTCCTCTGTGAGTCCCTGGGCTTTGTGTAGGTGTGAGAACTCTGCCTGGGTGGGCTAAACCTTCTTGTCTCTGGTAGCTGGAGGTTGCAGCACACCCTCGCTCCTTGGAGAGTGGGGATGAACCCCACCAGAATCATGCTGGTATGGAGCTGGGTGGGGAATAACCTGAATTACATTCGCTGTTGATAACAAAGGAGTGTACACAGCTACGGAATTCAGCTTTGCCCTTGGCCCTGTGGCCACTAAGGGCTGTCTCAGCTCTGTGAGCAAATGTGGAGGGGTTGTACCAGCCTTGTGTCCTTCAGGTCCGATGCGTTTGTCAGCAGAGAGAAATAGACTGGGGGTCTTGGTGGGATTTATCCTAAAATTGTGACCAGTGGTGATGGAAATCTTGCTGGAGACATGTTTTTGAATGCCCACAAACAATTGCTGAAAGGTGTGAGTTTGCAGGGACGGGACCGGTCACGGAGTCAAAATTTTGGTGCAGAGCATGCCATGGGCATTCCAAGCTTCCAGTTACAGGAGTGTCCCTCAGCCCGTGGGCCATGGTACAAGGTCAGGTCTCAAAGGCACTATGCCTATGTCTATCCTAGCGTAAGCAAAGTGCAGAGCAGTGTGGTCAGCCCCGCGGCAGTCGTGTGTTACTCCTGAGCTGCTGCTGCAGTAGTGCTGCTTGTTATTCTTACCTTGAAAATGTCCCTGTCAACCACCGGGTCTACCCAAATCTGCAATGGTGTGCTCAGGCCTGCCGGGATCCCAGCATGCCACGGTGTGGTATGGCAGCTGGTCGTGGTGAGAAGCATCTTCTGGACGAGGGGAAGAGCCGGGCTCTTGCCTGCTAAACGTGCAGGAAATAGCTGGAGAAGCTTTTCACTGGCTCTTGGCTGTTCAGCTTGGTTTCCCTGGCCAAGTTCCAGCCATGTGCTGATTTAAATCCAGGTTGCTAATATTCTCCTACAGTGTCATGTGGTTGATGCCTTTGCAGACGCCTCAACCACTGTCAAATCACGCTGAAGAGCTGCTCTGCTCTGTGCTGGCCACCCCTGGTCCTCCCAAACCCCTGGGACACAGGTGTATCTACCCTGAAGAATTAAACCATGGGGTTGATGCTCTGTTACGTACAATTTAGCTCCTCACAGACAAGCTCCCCTCATCCCAGACTCTGAGAGCCTGGGGATACAGTGTGGTCCTTGACTTGTCCCGTTTCTGTGGTGTGCTGTATGGTGACAGGTGGGTGCATGCAGGATGCTCCACACAGCTCACTGTCCCCAGGGTAGCATGTTTGGGTTTTCTCTTTAGACTATGCAGAGTTCCTGTTTCTTGGGCTCTTCCTGCTGGAGATGTCCTTAAAGATGTACGGGATGGGGCCACGCCTTTATTTCCATTCTTCCTTCAACTGCTTTGACTGTGGGGTAAGCAGGCCTGGAGATGCTGTGGGTGTGGGGGGAGATGCAACATAAGGCACCAAGGGGGAGAATGGGATGGCCCTCACAGTGGGCAGGGGAGCCCTTTCTGCTGGGGCAGCCTCCCTGTGCCATCCTGAGGCACCAGGTCTTGGGCAGGGTGGTGGGTGCCTCATCTTCAGGCACATTATGTTTCCCTGCAACAGCCTGTCCTGAGCCTGTCTTTGACTTGTGGCTGTGTCTGTTTCTCAGGTCACAGTGGGAAGCATCTTTGAAGTGGTTTGGGCTATATTCAGACCAGGAACCTCTTTTGGGATCAGTGTCCTACGAGCCCTCCGTCTCCTGCGGATATTTAAAATAACCAAGTGCGTACCAACCATCAGAGCCTGTCAGTCTCCATCTCAGACTGGGGCTGCAGCCCAGATCCAGTCACTCCTGCTCTCCTGCTGGTAAGGTCAGCATCACTGTGAGTGCTGCAGCAGCATCTCTCTTTTCTAGGTACTGGGCATCCCTGAGAAATTTGGTGGTCTCCCTGATGAGCTCCATGAAGTCTATTATCAGTCTTCTCTTCCTCCTCTTCCTCTTTATTGTGGTCTTTGCCCTGCTGGGAATGCAGCTGTTTGGAGGCAGGTAGGTTGTTTCAAGTCTGAGGAATAGGAATTTCTTGATGTTAAAACCAAGTGATGACACCCTCTTTAGGTGCCCAGGAAGACTGTAAGCCTTCCCCCTCAGTCTGCTCCTAACAGTGGTACTTCTCCCACACAAAAGTCCCTGCTCGGGGGGTGCCTTTGGGCTGTGGGGGTCCTTCTAACCAGGAGACTTTTTGGTTTCTAGCACCAAATATTCAGGAGACCTTTTTTGGACTGGGGAGAGGTCCTCCTAAGCGCAAGAGAGCTGATAGCATAGCAGTCAGGGTTTGTTGACCTTGGTATTTCATCCCGTTTATGTTCCGGTTCCCCTTTCCAGGTTTAACTTCATGGACGGGACTCCATCAGCCAACTTTGACACTTTCCCTGCGGCCATCATGACAGTGTTTCAGGTAGGAGCTGGACTGCAAGGGAACACAACTAAAGAGACTTGGGACTCACTCCCCTGTGGCTGGAAGGGGCTCTTTAAACCAAAAAGGCTCCCCTCTGTTAGGATATAACTTGCTTCCTCCCTCTCCTGTATAACAAAGTGGATGGCAAGAGATGGAAACTCTTCCACCTCTGTTACAGAAGATGAAGAGTTTCAAAACTCTTCTGAGGAGACCTAAATCCTCAGCAACGTCCAGTGTGATCTCCCTCAGGTGCTGCAGCTTAGGAGCTGGGTTACCCACTGCACAGGGTCTCTGTACTGGCTCCTGTGTATTGGTGGGAGAGATCCAGGTGACAAGAAGGTGCAGGTGACAGAGCTGCTGTGTTGCTTTCCTGCAGATCCTGACTGGTGAGGACTGGAACGAGGTGATGTACAATGGCATCCGCTCCCAGGGAGGCGTTCGCTCAGGGATGTGGTCCTCCATCTACTTCATCGTCCTCACCCTGTTTGGAAACTGTATCCACACGGCTGCTGTGCTTTGAGTGGTGACAACCCCATCTTTGGGGGCATTCCCCTCCCCACCCACTGCTCCTTCCTTCTCTCCCAACTGGGAAAGACCCACCACACATGTGGCAGTGCTGGGTATCCCAAGTGCAGAGGAGCAGCTGTCTGGAGGTGCACTGAGGGCTGTTTAAATGGGATGGGTGAGGAGTTTATGCCTTTGGCTGCTCCTCACTGCGCTGACGAGGAGCCATCAGGGCCACCCTCCCTTGGTAGCTGCAGACAGGCATGTCCTTAACACACGGCTTGTGCATCCTTAGCTGCTCACAGATACTCTGCTGAACGTCTTCTTGGCCATTGCCGTGGACAACCTGGCCAATGCCCAGGAGCTCACCAAGGTACCTTCCTGCTGCTCCTTTTCCTTCTCTTGTGAAGGGAGTGGGGGCAAAGCCATTTAGACTTTGATTTAGGAAAGTGCTTAAACCTGCTGATCTCTTCAGCAACACCCACACTTCCAGTGTGGCTTTAACTGTTCCTCCATTTAAGCTCCCCAGTTCTGTTTGCTGCCAGTCAGATCAAGACAACCCTCATCTGTTGGATGGGATCTGGTGTGGGGACTGTTATTTTCTGGAGCACTCTGGAGATGTAGAGTGGGAAGCACTTTCCAGTGGTGTCAGTATTTAATCCCCATCTGCCCGCAGGGCAGCGAATGTGATTTAGGATGCAATTTAGACTGGTGCTTAAGAAGGTTATTGGGCTTACCTGTTTTTAAGACCATGCTGGGAAATATTTGGGGAATGCTAAATTGTTGGAGCACCATCTGGATAACTGTGAATACGAGAGAGCTGCAAGGGTCATTGCCACTCTTTGGAGCAGACCAGTGATCCCGTGGGGACCAGATTTTTGTAGAGCCTATGCCTATTACTCATGTCCTTGGGGCTCACTGCGAGGCTTCTGCGCTGGTGTAAATCTGACCCGAAATGGAGCATGGTGCTGGTTTGCCTGAGGGGTGCTTGGGGGGGTCCCTGTCCTCCCACAGTGGGTGCAGATGGCACTTCCAGGAGCTGCTGGCTGCTGCTGGGGTGAGAGGGATGGGAGAGCCCCACGGAGTGCCAGCAGCATCAATTAAGAGAGTGCCGAGTTTTTGAAAAGGCTGAATGCTCGCTAATGACTCCTAATGACATTTTTTGCTCCGGAGACACAACCATACTCATTAAATCAATCCGGTCTCTGCCGGGGTCATTCATGGATGTCTTACCTCCCACTCTGTTAGGGGGATGCCTGTGTAGCCCCTGTGGCTGTGAAGAAGGGAGGGCTGAGCTGGTCTACGCTGTCTGGGGCTGTTCTAGCTCTTGCCTGCAGTGGGCTGGGTTCACTTATTTAAGTAGAGCTCACGCCTTCAGTAAGATCTGGTGTAGTGGGGAAGTTGCATCCCCACAGCACAACGAAAATAAAGGCTGTTTCTGGAAATACAGCCCCCCCCCTTTGTCCCTCATGCTTTGGCATGTAGGGTAGCCCTGCAGATCCTTCGCATGGCTGCACCTTCCCTTGAAATCCCATCATCCACTAAGCAATGCCTCTCTTTTCTCTGCAGGATGAGCAGGAGGAAGAGGAGGCCTTTAACCAGAAGCACGCCCTTCAGAAAGCCAAAGAAGTCAGCCCCATGTCTGCCCCAAACATGCCAGCTATCGAGTGAGTGACCCCCCCCACTGCTACCCCAGTGAACCCCTGAGGCCAGCCAGGCTTCTGAGAAGGGCACAGAGCTGCAGCAGAGCTTGGTATGGCTGGTTGTGGGGGCTTCTCAAAAAAAAAGAGGTCCCTGCATGGGGTGACCCTCTCTGGGTGTCTTCCTGAGGATGGATGGATGGATTGAGGTCTAGGACTGTGCTCCCCAAGAGCAGCAGTGCCTTTGGAGAGGTGGCAGCACAGGGACCAGGTCACCCTGGAGGACCTTGAGTTGCCAGACCCTACCCCAAACAGCAAACCCAGTGCTTGGGCATGGCAGAAATACGCTAAAAAAAAGGCTTTCTGCCCCAAATATGAGTTCAAACACTCAGGGCCGATGCTAAGGGCGGGCAAGGAGGCTGGGGAGGAGGAAGGTATCTCAAGCTATTCTTGAGGAGAGGTGATATTTGTACCTGGGGAGCATTTCTTTGTGGCAGAGCTGCAAGAGAGCAGCCAGGGCTGGGGGAGAAGGGAGCAGCAGTGTCACAAATCTCCCCCAGGCTCCTTCCTTGGGAGTGAATGCAGTTAGGAGAGATGGAGCAGGTTTGTGAAATGATGTTTGCTTGTACAGAAATGTGATTTGAGCAAGGAGAAAAAGCCTCAAACTACATAAACCTGCAGCATGGTGTTAAGGAGCCTTGTCTCTGTGTTTCAGCAGGAGAAAATTCTGTTTTTTCCTTTCTAGATGCCTTTTTTCTCTTTATTTTGCAGTGTCATATGGTCTAAATCACATAAAACTTTCAAAGTCAACATTGGAACGAGGCGTTTTGATTTGTTTCCCAAAACAGTACATTTCAGTACAGCTGAAGGGATTATTTTTTTTCTCCCTTTTTTTTTTTTTTTTATAGAATCCCTTCCCAGGGAATTTTAAGGTTTCGTTATGCTTTGAAACCCAGCCAAGCTCGTACACGGCAGAATCTCTTGCAGATTTGCTGAGAGAAACTGCTGTTTTCAGTGCTGATCTTGGGGGGTCAGAGGCAGCGTTGGCAACAGCCCCCTCCCTGGTTTGGCAGTGGTGGGATCTGATGGTCTCCCCACTCATGGTTTTAGGGGGAGCAGGAACCAGGGGTACTTGTGAGCCCTGCCTGACCTCCCAGCAGCCACAGATTTCACCTTGTTTTGGGGGTGATGGGATGTTCATAATAAATCTGTGTCTGGCCAAGTACCTGGGGGGATTATGGGAAAGGTGGTGGAGTCCGTATGCCATGACTGTTTCTGGCTACCAGTGGGAATATGTTGGATAAAGTAAGGAAATAGAGGGATTTAGACTGCAGGAGAGAATGAAGAATGGACAGATAGAAGAGAAGAAGAGGGGAGATGGAATATATTAAGGCAGTAAAGGATTTGCCCACGCTGCACATCCCTGATAAAGCTTTCTAGTCATTGTGAGGTAGAGGTGGTTGGGAAAACAGTCTCTAACCTTTCCTTTATTGTTCTCATGGCATTGAAATGAGAGGTATTGATATTCACAGGTCTTTTTTTCCAGCTCCTCCCACTCGTGAGGATGGATAGGGTCGGGGCAGGTAGTGTGATGCCATGGTGGGGTGTGTTGCGAGCATCGGCTCTGATGTGCTTTTGGTGGTGCTGCACTGATGCCAGCAGCCAGGGAGGGACAGTGGGGACAGCACAGCACGGGACAAGCCAGAGCAGACCTGGCCTTTGAGTGTGCACGGGCACGGATGGCTTCACTCCTCGGTGGGTACCCAGCGCGGGCAGGTCGGTACAGCATTCCTGCCTGCAGAGGGGTCTGGCGGCGTGCGGGGACGAGTGCTCCCACGGGACGAGTGCTCCCACGGGATGAGCGCTCCCACGTGGCCAGGCTGGCGCGGGCGGCGGTGCCGGCCGGGGTGCTGTGTTGGTACGCGGGCGCCGCGGTGCAGATGGAGCGGGGCCGTTTGGCGAGTGGGTGGCCAGATGGACGCGTGCGGGTGCTGTCATGTGCTGGTGCCCAGCGTGGTGCGTGGATGCGTTCGGAGGCTTGGGCACTTGCTGTGGGGACGGCGGTGGGTGCCTGCAACTCGATCCCTTGCCTTGAGTGTGGCACTGGGCTGTTCCCACGCTGTAACGATGAGCGTGACCGGAGCACCTCCCCTGTGGGGACAGGCTGAGAGAGTTGAGGTTGTTCAGCCTGGAGAAGAGAAAGCTCCAGGGAGACCTTAAAGCACCTTCCAGTACCTAAAGGGGCTGTAAGAGAGCTGGAGAGGGACTTTTGACAAGGTGTTTTTTTGACAAGTGGTAGGACAACGGGGAGTGTCTTCAAACTCTTAGGGGGTGGTCTTGAGCCTGCCAGAGCTCAGGAAGCATTTGGACAACTCTCTCAGGCACCTGGTGTGATTCTTGGGGTTGTCTTGTGCGGTGCCAGGGGTTGGACTCAACGATCCTTGTAGACCCATTCCAACTTAAGGGATTTTGTGATTGCATCTGCTTGGGGCAGTTTGCTTGGAGCTGTGCTTATCTTAATCTTTTCTGTGTTGATATGAAGGTTAAAGCCTGGAATCTCCCCAACTGCTGGTGGGGGTGAAGGACACTGCCAGCCTTGTTAATCTTCTCTGTGTGGGGGCTGCTCAAGTGACAGGAGCTCTGTAGCATCTCACCCTGGGCTTGTGCCTTGCATTTGCTGGGGAGCTTCCTGTTCCCCTCTGTAGTCCTAGGGCAGCATGGTGACAGCTCTGAGCAGCTTGGGGCTGGCCTGATACACTCCTTCCTCTTTCCAATTGCCACGTTTTTCTTGGGAAAAGTGAATTTGGAGCAGTTTGAAACAGCTGTTAAATATCCAAGGACGAATGGGGGCTTCTGAAGGACTGCTCTCTCCCCTTGCGTGGTGTGGGGGGGGCTCCGTGGCCCCCACGGAATGGATCACAGCGTGTCAGTGGGATTGTGGGCAGCCCACTGCCGTTGTGCAAGTGGGGCTTCACTGTGCACACGCAGGGACTCGCTGCCCTGCAGCCGCTCGGCAAGGAGATGCTGGCTGCCCGGGGTGGGAGGGACGCCTCTCTGTGCTGCCCACAGGAGTGGAAGGCGGGCGAAGAGGGGGATTGAACCCGTTTATTTTTCCTCCCCAGAAGAGACAGGCGGAGGAGACACCACATGTCGATGTGGGAGCCACGCAGCAGCCACCTGTATGTGGGCCGCGGGGGCGCGTGTCCGTCTGTGGCTCCTGTGCTGTCTGTGCGTCCGCGGGGCCGGGGCACACCCCGCTCCCCTCCGGCCTCCTCGGCAGGGCGGGGAGGGGGTGGCCGCGTGTGTGTGCCTGTACCCGTGTGCTCCCGTGCACCCCGTTCGTGCGTGCGTGTGGTTTGGTGTGTGCCGGACCCCCCGTGTGTGGTGCTGTGCCCTACGTGCGTGTCGCCGCCCGTGGATGTGCCGTGAGCGGTGTGTGAGCGGTGTATGTGCTCGTGGGTGTTTCCCCGTGCCTTAGGTGTGTCGGGAAGGGCGCGTCTGTCTGCTCCAGGGTGTTTGCCGGTGAACTTACGACACTGCTAAGGTTTTCGTGGCATAGCCTAGTCCTCCACACAGAGAAGCCCAGTGCACCTCCTTCCCCTGCAGACAGTCAAAATTCCTGCTCCCCAAGCCTCGGGGCAGGCTTCCTACCCGGGATGTGCTGGCGAGAGGCAAAAAGGGGTCCCTGTATGCAGCGAGAGGGCTTGGCCCGTATTTAAGGTGGCTCCAGGCAATCACACAAGAGGAAGGTGGTCCCTGCCTGTCTGGGATAGGGCAAGCCAGGGTGCTGTCTGCTCCTAGAAGCTGGACAAGAAAGCTTCAGGGCAGCAGCGAGGCTGCTGGGGCTGGTCATCCATCAGCCCGATGCCTTCTGAAGGGGCCAGAAGTACAGTCTCAGCCCTGTTTCCAGCCCCTACCAGCACCAGAGGGATGCTGACGAAGTCTTAGCACAGCCTGTAACCCTGGTGGTGGCATTTCCCTCTCCCTGGGATTCCCAGATTAAATCCGGGGCGGGTGCTTCACCTGGTGGGAGGTGGGGTCAGCCAGGATGCTGACCCCTTGCTGTGCCCCGTCGCAGGCGGGAGCGTCGGCGGCGGCACCACATGTCGGTGTGGGAGCAGCGCACCAGCCAGCTGCGCCGGCACATGCAGATGTCCAGCCAGGAGGGCATCAACAAGGACGAGCCGCCCCTCATCAACCCCCATGCCAGCATCTTCCGCAGGAAGAAACCAGGGGATGGCGTCACCCTGGAGAAGTGCGCCGAGGAGCAGGGCAAGGGCGAGCGGCCGCTGGCTGAGGGACCGGAGCAGCCTGTCCCGGGAGCCAACCCCGGCGGTGGTGAGGACAGGAGGAGCCCATCGCCCCGGGCCAAGCGGGACAAGGATATGTGGCAGCAGAAATCATGCCATGGGAACTGTGAGCCGGGCGAGCAGGACGGGGCAGGCGGCAGCGTCGAGGATAGGGCCAGGATGAGGCAGAGCCAGCGGCGCAGCCGGCACCGCAGAGCCCGGATGGAGGGGAAGGAGCAAGCTGGCATCTTGGGGAGCCGCTCGGCCAGCCAGGAGATGGGTCTGGAGGAGGCCAGCACCATGGAGGGGGCACAGGATGGGGACCGGCGTGGGGACGTGGCCGCAGCCGAGGCGCTGATTCAGGGGGAGCCAGAGGCGAGCGGAGAGTCCATCAGGTTGGTAACTGGGGAGGGCATCTTGCCATTCCCACAGCTCCTCGTCCTCTCTCCCTATCCTCTCACACCTTGTTTTCTCTCGCATCCCTCCTGCAGGACAAACGGAGTCCCTGCCGGTGATGCTGATCTGATTGGGACTGCCAAGAAGGGGAGCCCCCCACATGCAGTCCCGGAGCCCCACGGGGGGAAGACAGGCAACCTGACGGAGCAGGACTGCAGCAGCCCGGACACCAGCGAGCAGGCGCTGCTGCAGGGCAGTCGCACCGTCAGCCGGAGCGAGCCCGACCTCTCCTCCATCACCCCCAACACCGAGAAGGCCACGGAGAGCACCACCATCATGATCGATGTCCACGACTCCGCTGTGGTACAGAGTGAGGACCATCTCTCTTTCCTGAGCCCCTCTCCCAGCCCTCGGGGACCCTGTGGGGATGGAAAGCCGCTTGCATGGCTTTTCCTGTCCACACCCGTCAACTGGGGGGGGGATTTCTTTGCTGCTCCTTGCAGTACCTCCCTCCAGCACCCCGGTTCCACATTTGGGAGTCCCAAATGTAACGCTGATGTGCCACCATCCCCTGGGGACCATGTCCCTTCCTCACCTCCTTCTCATCCACCCCTTCATCTGATTCCTCATTCCCCCTTCCTCTCTGCCTGGGCAAAACACTTGCATTCCCTGTTTTTCCTGACACGTGCACAGCCTCCACCAGCTTGCTGCCGCTCAAACACCTTAACAGCATTCTCGCTGTCAAGGTGAGCTCCTTTAAACAGTGTTATTAATTAAACAGCTTGGTGAAAACTGGCCTTGTTAAACCCCATTTCATCTGCTTCATCCCAGCAGCTTGTCTCTTTTTTTTTTTTTCCCCATCTGAGAGAGGGGTCCCTCTCCCTGTAACAGCACGGGGATTTAAAGAGGGAGTCAGGAGGTTTGCATGTGCCTGCATGTGGCAGGGACACCCCAGGGTGCTGTCTAGGTGCAAGGCCGGGCAAAGGCTCTCGCTTTCCTGCAGTTAGCAACAAGACAGATGGTGAAGCCAGCCCATTAAAGGAGGCCGAGACCAAAGAGGACGAGGAGGAAATGGAGAAGAAGAAGCGGAAGAAGGAAAAAAGTGAGACGGGCAAAGCGATGGTGCCGCACAGCTCCATGTTCATCTTCAGCACCACCAACCCGTGAGACATTTTTTGGATCATAGGAGCCCCGGGACTGGGGAGGGCTGCAAGGGGAAAGACCTCTTGACATCACCAAAAACAGGGAATCCCCGTGGGAGGGAGTCTGAATATCTCCCAAACAGTCTTGATAACCAGCTGTGGTGTTCCCCAGGCCCCACAACACTCTCCCTCTGTGCCAGTCACACTCTTGGCTCTCTCTCCCAACTGCTGATGGCTAGTTGGGATTTTTATTCATTACTTGTTATATTTATCTGCAGTTTTATACTCCCCTGTAGCTCTTCCCTGGCTCCAGCAGCCTGGAAGAATAAGCACCCCAATTTGTCAGAGTCTTTCCCTGCCTGGTTGTGGGGGTGTCTGGATGGATGGGACAGCCAAGCAAAGGGATCAGCAAGCCCAAATTCACCCTTCTCTTGCTCCTCAGACTTTGCTGCCCATCTTTCCGCCCTGGAAGGTGGTGACGTGGGGTGGGTTTTGCGCGTGGGCCGTGGCTGGGGCCTGCCGGGGGCTCACAGGTCGGGGTGTTGGGCTGTGTCCCCACAGGGTGCGGAGGGCCTGCCACTACATCGTGAACCTGCGCTACTTCGAGATGTGCATCCTTCTGGTGATCGCCGCCAGCAGCATCGCCCTGGCGGCCGAGGATCCCGTCCTCACCAACTCCGACCGCAACAAAGTGATTGCAACCCTCTCCCGCTCCCCCTGTCCCGCAGGGCAGTGCAGGCAGAGGTCCTGTAGAATTTTAGCTTCTGTGGTGGGGCACGTGTGGGACAGGGAATCAGGGCAGCTGGTGGCAGCACCTGCACTGTGCCATGCAGTCTGGCTTCTTCCTCATCACCTTCCTTTATAAACCCCAGCTTCCCACACGAGGGGTTTAGAGCCCGGGCTGCAGACCAGGGCACCTTGTCAGCAGTAAAGTAGCTTAAACTACTTTAGATGCTGGTGTTCATAGGCCCTGGTGTGGAGACAGACGATTCCAGCTCACAGCATGAGTCCCAAGCCACTTGTGCCATGCACAGGAAATTATTCCCTCCTGCCTACACAGGCTGGGTTTATGACTGTACTGAACTCTTAGGGAACAGGCTGGGTTTGGGGCAAGGAAACCAACCCTCTGTCTGCACCTGAGCCAGGCGAGCCATGGTGTGGGGTGGTAGTGGGGTCTGGGTGGGTACAAGTGGGCCTGTTTGCTTGGCAGCGGCTGCAGAGCACCCGTGACCTCTCTCTGCAGGTCCTGAGGTATTTTGACTATGTCTTCACTGGCGTCTTCACCTTCGAGATGGTTATCAAGGTAAGAGCCCTTGCAGGCTGTGGGTGCTGAGACTGGCAGCATCCTTGCAGGGGATGGGAGATAGCTCAGTTTTTCAGTTCTGGTCCTAAATCTGGGTGGCAGAGACCCTAAAGTTTGGTTCTCAGCAGTGGGAGTCCAGAGTGCTCAGCACCAGTTTTATCAGCCTCCAGGCTTCCACACAAATATGATGCTCCTTGACCTATACCCAGGACACGGGGATGAGTCTGCTGCTCCCCAGCAGTGTCCCTGTGCCCCAGCTTGTCCTACCAGTGGCTGCTTCCACTTGATGTCTGAGCTGCTCATCCCTTGCCTGTTTTTCTCTGTTTCTCCCCTCCAGATGATTGATCAAGGCTTGATCCTGCAGGACGGCTCCTACTTCCGAGACCTGTGGAACATCCTGGATTTCATCGTTGTGGTGGGAGCACTGGTGGCTTTTGCCTTGGCGTAAGTGGCTGCCATCCTTGTCAGCTCCCTGCCTTCCCTTGGCTGTGGTGGGAAAAGAATGCAGCTGTGTCTTATGGCTACTAGACCCTGACTTTGTTTTTTTTATTTCTCTGCACCCTTCTGCTCTGCTTCTGGGATGGCTCCTGGCAGCGGTGTGGGGCTGCTCCAGAGATTTATTTCTCCTTGTTTGTCAAATGCTGGTGAGCAAGCAGGCAGGGAGCAAGGCAAGGCGAGCTGGAGGTGCTAGGAAGAAGTTGATGGTGAAAGTAGATTTGAAACAGAGCAGAAGGGGCTGTTAGAGAGGGGAGAAAACCTAAGGGTGGCAAAGCTGGAGCTGTACACCTGCTATGCATCTTGGGGTGCACAGAGACAGCAAAAGCAGTAGCCAGCAGGGTGAAGCTGCCCTCTGAACATGTTTGTGCTGGAAATGGTTCCCCCTGGCTGATGACTTTTCCTCTGCTCTGAGAGGGAGTGTTGCTCTGGAGCCCTGCAGGGATGGGGATGTGGCCGGTGGGGTTTGTGCCAGCAGCCTCTGCAGCACCACAGTGGGGGCAGGGTCCTGTGTGCTTGGCCTGCAGTGTGTCCTCACTGAGCATCACCTTGTGGTTGGGCTCCGGAACCGAGCTTGTGGCACCTGCAGGTACCACAAGATGTCTGTGGTGCCTGTGCCCTGGAGGGGAGGAGCACCCAGGGATGAGTTTCATGCTGCTCTGCCCTCCTGTGTGCTGCTGGTTGGGGCAGGTGATGCAGCATGAGCACAGGGCTGCGTGGCACAGATGCGTGGTGCCAAGGTGATGCTCGCAGGCCTCAGGGCTGCGGTGCCCTGCTGGTGCCCGAGGAGGGAGAGGAGAAGAGAGGAGAGGCTCAGGCTCCTTTGTCACGCTGTTGTTCTCTCTTTGTGCCTCTGACACTGGCGGCGGTGGCGTTAGTGCTGGTGAGAGGGGAGGGCCTGGCAGCCACGCAGACTGGAGCCTTGTCCTTGTCCACAGCTCAGGTACCGTGCGAGGCTCTTGGGGCAGCTGTATCGGAGCCCTGAGGTCGCTCGATGGATTACAGCCCGTGATCCATCCCTCCCATCTCACCCCAGACTGGGCGGCAGCTCCTCCTCCTGGTTCTTGCCCACTTGCACCCTCCCTGGCTCGTGGCTTTTGCCTTCCTCACCCTCCTCACCCCATTCCTTGCCCGGTGCTTTCAGCCCCTGCTCTCTCCTCGGGAAGAGCATGGGAGAATTCAGCTCACACAGCGCAGGGATGAACCAGCCCCTGGGCAGGGCAGGGGGATGACTGCAGACCCTGACATGGGCAAGGGGCATGGGGCAAGTTTGCCGGCTGGGGACAATGCTCTGAGCCCCCGGGAGGCCACCCAGGCCACCACAAGGGTGGATCAGGTATCTTTGGGATTTGGCTGATCCCTCCTCTGCCAGGGCAGCCCTTCAGAGCATATCTGGCAGGGCTCAAGGGCATCACCTGCCTGAAGATGCACTGAATAGTTTGAGAATCTTTATTGGAGGACAAGAGAGCCTTTTCCTTCCAAGGCCTTTTCCTTCCATCAAGACTTTTGATGGCTGAAGGAGCATAGGTTGATGGCTCAGCCTGCTCCTGGGTGGATGGGTGTCCTCACCAGTGCTAACAGTACAGTAATCTGTGTTTGCTGTCCCCTTGCCCCCACCCCACAAAGGTGGCACAACTCCTGGGATTGCCCTGGGAGCTAGAAGGGTCCACCACTGAGCATGTGGGGAAGCTACCGTGTTCCTTCCAGCCCTGCTTGTCACCTGCCTGCCTCCACCCATGCTCTGGAGGGAAGGACATTCCCTCTGGGCATGGGGCAGCTGAATTCTCGAGGGTGATCACCCCATGGGCTGTGGCACAGAACCCCTTCCCATGGAGAAGGCCCTGGCATCTCCACATCCTTTTGCAGCAAGCATCGATGTCGCCTGCTCACTCTTGTAGCCGTAGCTGGGTAGATACTGAGTTGCTTGTGTCGTGGACAGGGGCTCTTTATAATGTAAACCTGCAGGATTGTCCATCTCCCCGCCTCCAACAGTGGCTCCCACTGGAGGAGATGATCTCATGGCTTTGGGAGTGAGGGGAACAAAGGAGCCATGGCGATTTCCGATGGGTTTATACATTATAAAGCATTTATAAGAACACCTGCCTCTCCTCTTGGCAGCCCATCACTGCTACACCCCCTGGAGCTGCAGGATGTTCACCAGGTCTGTGTCCCAGCCTGCCACCCCCCCCCCCCCCCCCCCCCTGGTCTCGACGGGAAAACTCTGGTGGTGATGTTTGAATCCATCCCTTTTTTTTGTCCCTCCATGAGCTCTCTGTTGTGGGTCTGGGGTGGGGTGATTGTCCTCCTTCTCGAACTCCCTCTCCTCTCCTCCATGGTGCTGGGTCAGCAGTGATGGCCATGGAACGGCTGTGGTGATTACCTGGATGAGAGAGGTGACCTGGTGACTGAGTCCAGCACTTCCCAGTAGAAGTGCTGGGACGTGCTGTGAAGATTTTCTGCCCCATTTTGCCTCCCCTGTGTGGTTTGGTTTTCTCACAGGGGTCCTGGGTAGCTGTGGGCACACCAGGAGGTCTTTGAGCTCGTCCAGTGGTGCCAACATCGTCTGCTGACTGTTGGTGCCACATCCAAATCACCAGTAAGGAAGAGCCCACCCATAAAGCCACCTCTTCCTGTGCCGTCTCGGCTCATCTGTAGCTCTCCACATGGAAAGCTAATACATCAATCCATACACAGCCTAAATAAAAAGCCGTAAATCTCCAAAGAGTTCAAATTCAGTTAGCTGGAATAACCAGAACCGTAACTAAAGACCCTGCTCACTTATGCCTCCTGTGGCACCCTCTGAAGGAGGCACTGTGCAGTGGAGTGGTACTCGCTCGTGGCTCTGCACAGCTGCCCAGAGGTGGTGGGGAGGCTGAGTGGTCAGTGTGTAGCCCTCATCTTACCTGGTGAGCAAGGGCAGGTGCCCAGCAGAGGTGCCTCTTTCCTTGCAGAGCAGCACCTCCTTCTGCCAGTTGACATCAGTGTCTGGAAGCGAGAGGGACCCCTACATACTGCCAAATAAGCTGGTGTGAGGCTGGTCAGGACAGAGGTCCCACCAGAGAAGTGCTGCGAAGTTAAACTATCCCCTTTTCAACAGACCTTCCACCTGTTGGACTAACATGCAGCCAGGGTCTGGGGTTAGTTTTATGTGTTTTAAGAAATGTTTTACCTGTATGCACGTGGCAGGGACTCAACTCAAACAGGGACAGAGGTTTGGTTACAACTAAGGACCTTGTAGCCCACCTTGGCTTGTCCAAGTGCGTGTCCTGCTGGGTTGCAGGAGATTCTGTGCTGCAGTTCAGGCTCTTAATCAGTGGATTTCTTGATGGAGGTGATTTGGCAGAATTTGGATGGGAACTATTGTGGCTTTGAAGGTAGGTTCCCTTGGAAGCACCTACCTTTGTCTGGTTGGGGCCGAGTCTTGAGCTCCCCCCTCAACTCTTGGCTAAGGAGGACCATGAACCCACTTGTTGTTGCCCAGTGTCCTGCTCTCTGCAGGTTTCTCTTGCAGCAGAGCTTTTGCTGTGTGCCCCCAACCCAACACCTCCAGCAGGGAGGGCAGGATCTCCTGGCTTGCTGGATGAGTCTCTCCCTGGAAATATGCCCCATCCTGAAGGACACAGTGTGGTCTACTCATGGTGCCTTTCAACCTAAGCATGGGTGGTGGACAGCTGCCACAGGGTCCCCGTACCTGAGAGGCTGCAGTCGTCACTGTGCAGCTTCCCTGATGCTTTTCTTACCTTCTTCCTCTTTTCTCTCTTTTTCCCTCTCTCTGCTGGTGCTGTTTGGTGGCTGCTGGGCTGGATCGCCGACAGGAATGCTTTGGGGTAACTATGGTGGTTGGGAAATTGTGGGGTGCTGCTCTGGGGAGCACAGGGGGATGGGTGCAGATGGATGTTGGTCTGTCCAGTGCCAGTGCTGACCCTTAGCCACATTTGCAGAGACTGCAGTACACTGCTGTGCAGGCACCCCCGAGGTCTGAAGAGATCCCTCCTTGGTAGATGTTAATCACTGCAGTTGAGCTGTCCTTGGTGGCAGCTTGCACCAGCTGAGCACTGCCCCCAAATCCTTGCTCCACCCTGAGTCAGATGCCCAGGCCCCTGATAATGAGCAAAACAGGAACCAGGAGGTGTAAAGTGAGTCCCAGGGCTGTTTGTACAGTTGCTTCCCATGCATGTGTGGGGCTGTGCTCCCAGGGAGGACTATTAATTAGTGGTTTTGTTTACATCTCTTAACGATTAAGCCCATTATTGTGCTCCCTGTTGCATTAACCCTAGCAGAGGAGCTGTGTAATTGGGAGCATCTGTTGTTGCAAGTCATTTCCTTGACGTTTTTCCAGGGTGCCTGGTGGATCCAGGCTGTGCCACCTTCACCAGGATCTCTGCTCCATCCTGAGATCTAGTCCGTGGGCAGTGAAAAGATAAGAAAAAAAACCTGGTATTGTGGTTGAGAATAATCATCATATTCAAGAAATGAGGGTCATGAGTGGGCTTTCCTCAATAATTCTGCCAGTAAGCTCTGCCTCGGCTGACTTGGGGTGGAGGCAAGTGCAGCCCCAATCTGTGGAGACCTTAGAGACCCTTCCAAGGGTCCAACCCTGCTGCCTTGGGCAGGAACACCTTCTACTAGATCAGGTTGCTCAGGGCCCCATCCAGCCTTGCCTAGAATACCTCCAGGGATGGGGCATCCACAATTTCTCTGGCAATGTAGATCCCATTGAGTACATCTCCCTCATTTTATTATTAATTTCTTGCAACTAGTAGTAACAGTAGAAGACAATTTGCAGTGGTGGGGGCCTTGTGCAAGCCCCACCTGCAAAAGGCACATGCCTGTAGTAGGGAAGCTCCTGGTACTGCCTTTACCCTGAAAGTCTGGCATTGCCTGCCCCAGCCCTGGCTTCCCACACAGAGGGGTTTGTTAAGGTCACTGCTCCCCGGTGAAGGGGAAAGGTGCTAATCCCGAGGAGGAGAGCACTGCTTCATTTGTCATCTCTGCCAGCTGTCAGCGCGTGTGTTGGAGGAGTTGTGTTTAGGTGGGCTGAGCACTCAGCAGTCACACGTTTGTGCCCCTCCTGTTCCCACCTTCACACGTGCTGGGGGGGGGTGTTGTCAGCAGTTTAAACCCCCAGAGCATCCAGGTCTACAAGGTTATTGTCTCTCCGTTCCATTTTTGGGTGTGTGTGCCTCCCTCCGACGTGGTAGGACCAACAAGGGCCGGGATATCAAGACCATCAAGTCTCTCCGTGTGCTGCGGGTCTTGAGGCCTCTGAAAACCATCAAGCGACTGCCCAAGCTGAAGGTAACAACCCCCATCTCCTGCCTTACACCTGTCTTCTCCTGCATGGAATGGTGGGTCAGGGACCATGCACATTGATTTGCTCATGGGCAGTGAACAAGTTGTTTTCAAAGCTTTGGGTGTGCTTTAGGAGCCCTGTTTTCAACCACAGCACCCTTCAGGCTGCTTCATATCTGGAGATGCAATGAGTTATTAAAAGCGAGCCCGGACCTCTGCAAGGTGTCAGAGGTAGTTCCTCTGTCAGTGGGGCTTGAGTGGGTGCAAGGCAGCAAAACCCAGATGCTGTCCTGAAAAGTAGATTGTCCTGGTTTTGGAGAGCTCAAATCTCTTTCCGGAGTTTATGATCTTTCTCTCTGGAGCAGCTTGCAAAGGACTTGGGGTTTTGTGTGCTATGCTGCCATGGTGTTGCACTGGAGGGATATTTCCCATCTCAATAGGGGGATTATTCCTGTGGCACAGGTAGGATTATGGATTTCTCTGCCTTAGCTGATGGGGTATAGAGCCAGAAAGGAGAAGGAGACCGAGGCAGCCCTGTTTTTTATGTACATGTGGTTATTTGTCTGATGAACTAAGCACAGTAACATGGGGTTTGACCCCAGTTTTTCTTCCTCATCACTGGATGGATTCAGCCCACGTCAATTCATTTCTGGAAATGCCTGTCCCCACCATGAAACAGGGATATGGGCATTCTTCACGTAAAGTGCTATGAGAACTAGGGCTGAGAGCACTAAGGGAGGTGCTGCTGCTGCAGGCAGAGGTATTTGCTCTGCCTTGTTATTTGGGGTGATGCAAAACAGCAAAGTGTTTACTGATTAGTCCTGAGTGCTGCTAATTGCATCATTAGGATGGTCCCCTGTCTGCTACCTTGGTTGCAGAGAACACTGAGGATACAAACATCCATCCCTGGTGCTGCTCCGGGGGCTGCATGGTGCCTACATGTGTGCTATGGGTGCTCTGGTGTTAACCTCGTTTATAAAATAGCTTTTTGCCTGGGAGAAGGCCCAGCTTTTTTCCTTCTTTCCCCACCAGGAGTGGGAAATACCTTTCTACATGCAAGCTTGGTTTTGGTCCTGCCCTTTGCCAGGGCTGTGGGTTCCCTAAGGTGAGCTCTGCCCTCTCCTGCAGGCCGTCTTTGACTGCGTCGTGACATCCCTCAAGAACGTCTTCAACATCCTCATTGTCTACAAGCTCTTCATGTTCATCTTTGCTGTTATTGCCGTCCAGCTCTTCAAGGGGAAGTTTTTCTACTGCACTGACAGCTCTAAGGACACACAGAAGGACTGCATGTAGGTTCCCTGTTGATGCTGCTTGACGCCTCTGGGTAATGTCTGCTGTGGTTCCCAGTTAAGTCCTTGGTCATGACCCGCTCTTGGCTGTATCTCTTGGGTTGGATGGCATGAGATGAGCCCTGTCCCATTGCTGTGTCAGCACTGCACATCCTTCCATGGGATGCAGAGACCCTTATTTTGCTCCTGTTCTTTCCTCCTTCTCTCTTCTGTTTTGCCTTCCCCTTCTCTGCTTCCTCACGGTTGTTATCCAGCTTCTCCCCATTTCTCCCTCCATCCCTGCAGGAGGAGAGGTGCCCCTCACTGCACACACACACTTCCCTCAGGGTTTACACCCACCATCCTTTAGTCTGGCAGTGTAAAAAGCAAGGTCATTGCTCTCTCCCAACCTTGCAGAGGGAACTACGTGGACCACGAGAAGAACAAGATGGAGGTGAAATGCCGGGAATGGAAACGCCATGAGTTTCACTACGACAATATCATCTGGGCTTTGCTCACCCTGTTCACAGTCTCCACCGGCGAGGGTTGGCCCCAGTGAGTATTCTTCTCTGTCTGTCCCCTTGAACGGGGGTGATCACATCCCCATTGGATCCCAGGTGGGACTGAGAGAGGAACTGCTGGGCAGGAAGGAGGAGAGGAACAATGAGAAATTATATCAAGACCAAAGGGCTTTTAGCTCCCCTATGAGGCTGGGGTCTTCCTTAAGGAGTGAAAAATGGATAATCCTTTCTTCTCTATGGCCCTGCGATACATTTTAGGTCAATATTAGAGATGACCATAGGAATAGACCTTTCTACATGGTCACGTGAGCTTGGGCAGTATTATTCTCTGTGTGTAGACCACAGGAAAATCCATTTTCCATCAGAGGCACAGGCAAAACACCGTAAAACAAACTGTAGCTACTTAGAAAGGTCTTGAAAGCAGATTAGGACAGAGCTTTACCTTGTCATTGCACAAGGGGGGACAGACAGAGCTGGCTGTACAGAGCGAGTCCCATTGGAAGTGTCATGTGGTGGCAGCCCTGAAGGACCTACCTCTGGTTGCTTTTCTTCACCTGTCTGCCCACAGGGTGCTGCAGCATTCGGTGGACGTGACGGAGGAGGACCGTGGGCCCAGCCGCAGCAACCGCATGGAGATGTCCATCTTTTATGTCGTCTATTTTGTGGTCTTCCCTTTCTTCTTCGTCAACATTTTCGTGGCTCTCATCATCATCACGTTCCAAGAGCAAGGAGACAAAATGATGGAGGAGTGCAGTCTGGAGAAGAACGAGGTACAGTCTGGAAGGGGGGAAGAAGATGCTTCCATGGGGTTTTTGCGGTTTGGGAACTTGGAGCTCCCCAGATATTGAAAAGGTGTAAGAGACCCGCGGGCCACCTGCCTTCTCAGATCATGAAGGAAAGAAATGTGGCAGCCGCTGTCCCCCATGTCTCCATCAGCCAGGTTGTGACGCACGTTGTTTTATTCCAGAGGGCCTGCATTGACTTTGCCATCAGTGCCAAGCCCCTGACGCGGTACATGCCCCAGAACCGACACACCTTCCAGTACCGTGTCTGGCACTTCGTGGTGTCCCCGTCCTTTGAGTACACCATCATGGCCATGATAGCGCTGAACACCGTGGTGCTGATGATGAAGGTGAGCCGGTCAGAGTGAGCCTGTCCTGGTTGGAGCAGTGGGGAGAAGGAGGATCAATCGGGGTGAGACCGGAGGGTGTTTTGGTCATGGAGATGCTTTGAGGCAGAGTCTGAGCATGTGTTCCCTTGGCATAGGCACTTTAAACGCTGCATGCCCCAAACTGGAGGTGACATCTTTTCTAAGTGAGATGACCCAAATTATCTGGACCTCTTAACTAGTGGAGACAGATCTGAATTTACTGTCTGCCTCCTCTTTACAAGGAGTGGCAGCTTCCCTGGGAGAGAGGTAGAGAGAGTAAGGAGATGTTCTTGAGACCCCCAGGGCAAGGAACATAGACCACCACAGATTTGTCCTGGGTGGAGAAAGAAAGGAAGTCTTGAGGGAGCCAGGGCAATAAACATGACCACATCAGGTCTATCAGCCTATCAGGGCTGACAGGCCCCCTCCTGGCTAGCAATGTCTCTCTGTTTCCATCAGTACTACTCTGCTCCATACACCTATGAGCTGGCCCTGAAGTACCTGAACATCGCTTTCACCATGGTGTTCTCCTTGGAGTGTGTCCTCAAGATCATCGCTTTTGGCTTCCTGGTGAGTGGCTGCTCCTGTTCTTTACAAGGGTGTTAATTTGGACTTTGGCAGCACACAGATCACAGGGGGAAGGTGTTAATAATGTGAGGTTCTTGCTACTTATTTTGGATCTTGGCCTGAGAGCTGCTTTTAGGGTGGATTTGCTCCTTTAGTTCTCCTTACACTTCCCACTGCTGGATGCTGCTGGGTGAAGCCACACTGCTGCTTTACTTCTTGCCTTGTTTCTGCTGTACTCTGGTGCCTGGACCATGTATGTGCTGTACCACGGCTCTGTTTAGGCCAACTGCTGCTGCATGTGCTGGTGGCTGTGGTCCCTTGTCCCCAGAGGGTCAGGAGATGCACTGCTGCCCTTGGGTTGTATCATTTGGATCAGATCTGAGAATCGGTGAAACTTTCTTGCCTGATTCACTGTCCTCAAGTCCCCAGCTGCTCACTTAGGATTTGAAACCATGGACTGCCTTGCCTCCACCTACTCCTTCCTGCTTATGGGAGATAAGATCCACTAGCAGCAGGGTTCCTAGCCACCCTCCTTGCTCCCAGTGTCACCAGCCACGTTTGGTCTTGCACCAGCTGCTGCATAAATAGCAGGGCTGAGGTGGGTCCAGGTGCCCATGAAGAGGAGGGCAGAGCAGCCTCCTGGCTGTGAGGGCTGGCATGATGAGCTGTTACAGCCTGACCTACACTGTCTGTGGCTACTTTTCCTGCTCCCGTTTGCCAGGGTGGCCTGTTGGATGTATGAATCATCTCCCAGGAGAAGCTGCTTGCTGCAGACATGCTCAGGTCTGCCACTGTCTCAGACAAAGGACGGTATTCCGGACCCTGGCTGCATACAAATGGGCTGCAAGGTCTCCATGGTTGTCCATGAACAGCTTTGGCCTGTGGCCCAGTGCCTTTCAGACCTGCCATCCCCGAGCTCAAATCCACGTTCCCTCTTTCCTTCCTTTTGCAGAATTATTTCCGGGACACCTGGAACATCTTTGATTTCATCACCGTCATTGGCAGCATTACGGAGATCATCCTGACAGACACCAAGGTGAGGCAGGGGCTGGGAGCAGCGGGGTGTAGCATGGCCCTGGGGGTTCCCACCTCCCTCTGACCCTCTCATCTCCTCCCAGCTGGTGAACACCAGCAGTTTCAACATGAGCTTCCTGAAGCTTTTCCGGGCTGCTCGGCTGATCAAGCTGCTCCGCCAGGGTTACACCATCCGCATCCTCCTCTGGACATTTGTGCAGTCCTTCAAGGTGAGTCTCATGTGCCGTGATCTCCACCCAGGCCACAGTGATGTGGTGCTGCTCCCAAATGCAGGCTGTTCCCAAGGTCTTGTTGGCTCGTAGGAGAGATGGATGGGCACAGCTTACCTGCCCACTGTGCTTTTTGTACTCCTCTGGAGCTGGACCTGTGATAAATGATGGGATGACTCATCTGCTTCTCTTGCAGGCGCTCCCCTATGTCTGCCTCCTGATCGCCATGCTTTTCTTCATCTATGCCATCATTGGCATGCAGGTGAGCACAGACATCCCTCTGGCATGGACAGCCTGCACCGGCATGTCCTCAGCAGTACACACAGGAGCAAGCCTTGTGCCTGCCTGTCATTGCCTCACTTGGTCATGGTGTCCGAGAAGGTCCTGAGGGTGGAACAGCTTGTTTGGGAGCTGCAGAGCCACGTGCCCTGGGGAAACTGCCATGGGCTTGTTCAGTCTTGCTCTGCAGCTGCCTTCCCAACTTGGACCTTTGGAGATGTGGCCTTGCAGACTCAGCTGGGCACCCTGTGTAGTGGCTGCTGGCAAATCCCCGCCTCTTTGTTTAGCAACTACTAAATCTCTGACTAGACAGCCCCCAGGGACTGATTTCGTGCCTGAGGGACCCGGTGAGCAGCCTTCTGTCTTTCCCACCCGAACGGCTGGATCACAGCAGTGATCCCTGCAGCCCAATTGTCCACCTCATCCCTCCACAGGGGGTTTATGTTGTAGCTGTGCCGCTGCTTGGGCACTCCTGCTTAGAGCCCTGTGATGACCCACCAGCTGGTGGGAGGTCTGCAGAGCATGGGGAGACAGCAGCTTTCCAGGCTCCAACTGGTAAATAAGAAGCACATGAGCTAAAACGCTCAGCTCTGCACGTGCCGCGGGGCCGCCTCACTTCTGCGGTGACTAAATCCCACGCTGAAGATCTGACAGAGCACCTTTGACGATGAACACTTGGGTTGTGGAGCTGCCTGATGAGCTGCTGCAGTACCTAATGCCTGACATGCGCTGCCAGGACAGGCAGATTTTTGGCAGCGCTGGTGTTTAGGATCTTCCACCCCCTCTCTCCCGCCCCGAGAGTCCCGTGGCTGGTTTTTGCTGCTCTGCCCTACACATCTCGGCACCAGCTCCAGGTGTTCTCCGTGCTAAACAGCCGCCATCTGACTCAGCCCCCCCACCCCACCCTGCCATGTGGTAGTATTTGATTTATTTTATTTTTTTTTCTTAACACCATTGTGAACAAATCCCCAAGCAGTAAAGTCTGTGGGCGTTATTTGAGCAAAATAGCTGGAGGCAGAAAATATTCTACAATTACACATTCCAAAAAACCTGCACAGGGAAAAAATACTCTGCAGCTAGTGTATTTTTAGGTTCAGGGAAAGGGGAATAAATATTTAACAGTAATAACAGCACATTTTTCCTGTTTGAGGCGCTTTACGAATGTTCGTTATGTCTTTCCATGGCCTTGGCTGTGGGTCATTATTAGAATATTGTCCATGTTTGTGGCTTTGTTGCCTCTCTTGGCCCTAGGAATGGTAGTGTCAAGTGTCTGGCTGTCTGTGGCGGCTTAGCAGTCTGCCTGTCCCACCCTCCCTGAGCCCTTCCCTGCCTTGTTTGCACTTCTGTGCCAGACCCCAGCATCACAGACCATTTGTCCACCGAGGGAAAAGCTTCTGAGAGTTCCCAGGACCACGACTCAGCCCCTGCCCGCAGCAGTGGGACTTTGTCCCTGCACCTCCAGTGCGCTCAGAAGCGCTGGGTGCTGTGCCGTGCTCAGAGGCCACTTGTAGCGCAGCAGAGGGGTGGATGTGGAGCGGTTGGACTCGGTTGATCCCAGGTCCTCTCTGTGCTCCTGTTTCCATGGTAGCTCAGCCTCTCGCAGCCTTTGCCACCCACTGTAAATCCCTGCCAAGGAGAGGAGAATCCTTCCCCAATGGCTGCTTGGCGCCAGCTCCTTGGCGCGCTGGCTGCTCACCAGCCTGTGTTTGCTGGGGTGCTTTTGTAGAATCAGAGTCTTAGAATGATTTGGGTTGGAAGGGACTTTAAAGGTCATCTTGTCCAACCCCATGGCAGTGACATCTTCAACTAGGTTAGAGCCCTGTCCATCTTGGCCTTGAATGTTTTCAGGCATGGGAATATGAATGTGAAGCTGCTTCCCTGGCAGAAGAGTTCTTGCCTGAAGAGCTGAGCTATTTTTCTCCCTCCTGTAGGTTTTTGGCAATATCAAACTGGATGAGGAAAGCCACATCAACCGACACAACAACTTCCGCAGCTTCCTGGGCTCCTTGATGCTTCTCTTCAGGTAAGCAGCCATGGAACACGCTCCTCTGCATGCCAGAGGTGTTTAATTTGGGCAGGGGGTTGTGAGATTTCTCCCAGGGGCATCCTGCCCTGACTCCATCCTGTGCCACCATGAGCTGCTGAGAATGGCTATGTTGGGCACAGGAGTGCCACAGGAGAGGCGTGGCAGGAGATCATGCTGTCCTGCCTGGAGGGCAAAGGCTGCGAGCCAGACACGACGGCAACATCCGGGCAGAGCGAGAATGAGCGCTGTGGAACCGACCTGGCCTACGTTTACTTCGTTTCCTTCATCTTCTTCTGCTCCTTCCTGGTTAGTATCTCCTGCCAAGAGCCCTGGGGATCCCCCTCATCAGCACCCCAGCCACAGGGTCATCTCCATCATCTTCCCACAATCACTCTTCCTTCTCTTTCCCTTCCCTTCTTTGCTCCCTCTCCCCCCACTTTCCTTTCTCTCTGCTTTTTTCCCTTCCATTTAGATGCTCAACCTGTTCGTGGCAGTCATCATGGACAATTTTGAGTACCTGACAAGGGATTCCTCCATCCTGGGACCTCACCATCTAGATGAGTTTGTCCGGATCTGGGCAGAGTATGACAGAGCAGCGTGGTATGTAGCCAGCTCCTTCTCTCCTGAGCAACCTCTCAGAGCTGGTTTTAAATGAGCGTCTCTGTGTTCTACTACTGGAACCATCAGTGATGCCTGGGATGGTCAGGGGTGGTCTGCTGTCACCCAAGGGCAGAAGCTGGTTCCTACAATGGCTGGTGGCACAGGCATCTTGGGTGATGTTCATGGTTTACCATGGTGTTTATCCTGAGAGCTGGAGGTTCCTGCTTTTCCTTTCCTCCCTGCCCAAGTGGGCAGATCCCCCTCAGCCTCCTTCCCTTTCCCCGTGCACCAGCTGGGTGCCTCTGCCCTGAGACTGGCTCCATCCCTTGGTCTGCAGCACCCACAGCTCCCCATCAGAGCAGGGCCAAGCAGGGATTGTTCCCAGCCATGGGGAGATGCTGGGGGTCTGCTGAGCTCCTGCCAAGCCACCTGCAGAGGACCTCGTTTGGGGAACTGTGTTCCCATGCTGGCCAGCCCACGCACCCCTCTAGGGATGGGAGGACTTTGTTTCCTGCATTTCTGCCCTGGCTGATGAGGACCCCGGTGAGCAGGGCTCCTGTTTGCAGGCAGCAGCCTGTTCCCAGCAACGGGATGGGCTCACAGTGGCTGTACATACCGTGGGTGGCCAGACTTTGGCTCTGCTCTTGCTGCTGCTACTGCAGGGGGCTTGCTGTCCACTCCTCCTCCCCCTAGGGTGATATCAAGCATCCCTTGTGCAGTGGAGAGCCCTTGGCAGCTCTAGGAGCATGTTTACCCTTCACTCAGCCCCCACACCACAAGGGTGCTTTATGTGGCCCCTTCCTTCCCCCCTCAGCCCAGGGACAGTCTCTTTGGAGCCATGACCTACTACTGCTGCTGCAGAGCCTGGGTGATCTTAGCTGGAGAGCCCTTGGCAAACACACACGCTCCCTTTGGAGACTCTTTGCCTCCGCTGTTAATGTCCTACCCCTCAAAAGACCAGCCACAGCCAAGATATTTTTTTATACCTAATATCAGCTGCAACTAGAGAGAGGAGAGGAGGTGAGAGCAGTGAAACACCCAGCTGCTCAGGGTGGGGCATCTCACCCATGACTCTTGGGAAGGATTTCTTCACACCAGGCACTTCATTCACTCTTGCCCCCCATGTTGGTGGCCTCATTCTCCAGGAGAGTCACAGTAAAAGCATGTCTGGGCTGTTCTGTCTGAGCCATGTGCCCCTCTGATTTCCGAGCAAGCTGTGCTCTTTTGTCATAGTATGTAGCCAGGGGTTAGGGGACATGCACAGGAGCCGGTGGTTGAGGGCCTGCCAGGGCAGCCCTGGCCCCTGGTGCTGGGTGAGGAACGGGTGAGTACATCCAAGCGGGTCCCAGTGCCTGAGTGGGGCAGCACTTCTGCTTCCTGACACCGGGACCATCCCAGGAAGGTCTCATGGGGGGAATATCCAACTCCAGGGGGGCTCAGGGGATGGATTTTGTCCAGATGGTTGGGTTCTGGTTGGGTTCTCCATCTCTGGCCAGCGATGGGGAGGGGATGGGAGACGAGCAAGGAGAAAACCAGAGGCGAAGGCACTGGGTAGGGCGGTAATGCTGTTCTTTGCCTCCTCGCGTGGTTTCCCTCCAAGCTTGTCCAAGGATGCCCGGGAGGCTGCAGCACGCTGCACCTCAGCACTTCCACCCCACAGGGTCCTGCTTCCCAAAGGGCTCTGGTCTGGAGTAGAGTGGGAGGCTCAGCATCCAATGGCCCCTGCACCCTCTCCTGCCAGCTCTCTGCCACAACTGCTTCCATATTTCAGCGGTGCAGGAGGATACAGGCACAGGCCATATCCTGCAACAACTGCACCGGGTCTGGGGAGATGAGCTTCTGTGGGCAAGAAGGGGTGTGTGCAGGGGAAGGTTTGCTTCTAATAATGTGTACCCTTGGCAGAGCGTGGTCTGGTGGTCGGAGCACAGGACTGGACCTTGAGAGACCCAGGTGCTAGTGCCACAGCCACCAGCTGGTCACATTATCTCTCCCCATCTCAGGTTCCCCAGATATTGGAGTCAAGTGGCTCAGCTGCCAACTTCCCTGGGACCTTTTGAGGCCCAGAGAGTTGGTTGTGTGAGGGCAGGATCTCTGTTGATGTGATGGGACACAACTCCACCGGAAGGGCTTGTGGTGGTGAGAACCCCAGCCAAGCTGCAGGCTCATCCTGTCTAAAATCCCAGCCCTCTCCCACCAGGCATAGGGGTCAGGGGCACGATGAGGAAGGGTGATGGAGTGGTGTTCACCACCAGAACTGTCCTTCTCCAGGGTGAAGATGGGACAGTGTGAGGAGATATGAGCTGACTCTCATGGTGGAGAAGACAGTAGCTGATGCTCACAGCTTTCCCCTCTCTGGGTCTGACAGAGCCAGAAGGAGAAGAGCCATGTGCTCCTGGGGGTCTTGCCCCACAGATGGCCCCAGCATCCCCCGGTTAAGCTCTCCATCCTCCCCTCCTCCCTCTCAGTGTCCTATTAACCCACCTGTGCTTCCTTTGCAGCGGCAGGATCTCGTATAAGGATATGTACAAATTAGTACGGGTGATCTCGCCTCCTCTGGGCCTAGGAGAGAACTGCCCCTACAGGGTGGCGTGCAAGGTTTGCCTCCCAGTCCTCCGCCACAACCTGGCCACGGGACGCACCATCCACCCCTCCTTCCCCCCCGCTCCACTGCCACCGCGCCTCCCCAGGGAACCCTGACGTTGCTTTCCTTCGAGTTTAAAGAGGTCCACTGCCTCCCAGAGCCAGCAGCTGTTCCCCTCGAGGGGAGGCATGAGCGGGGCTGGGGGGGCCCAGAACCTCCTGGGGTGGGTTTTGACAAATTGCGTCCCCCAGCCAGCCCCCCACCCCAGAGCCCCGAAGGGCGCCAGGCCAAATGCCACCATCCCTGCTCAGCTTCTCAAAGTACCTCACGTGGGACAGGGAGTTTTTTGCGGGGCTTAGATGTGGTTTGCTCCTGGGGAGGGAAGCGGGGGAGCGAAGGCTGGAGGATGTTGGGGACTTCGCTGTTGTTTTGGAGAATGAGGGCTGGGGGAGGATGGGGAGGCCAAGGTGACCCCTCTCCCTGGGGCATGCTGTGCTGTACCCAGCAGACCCTTTCTCAAGTGTGGCACTTTGGAGGACAACTGACCATGTCTCTGGGGAGCAGGACTTTTGCTAGTCTTGCCCACAGGTTGCTGGATCTGCCGGGGAGGTGGTTGACACCAGGGCACATCTCTGAAGCTCAACAGCCCCTCTCCCTTATCTTGAGCCAAACTCCCGGCTGCTGGCCATGGGTCCATGGCAGTGATTTGGTCTCTGTGTGTCTCACTGACTTGCACCTTTTTTTTTTTTTCAAATTTTATTTTGGGATGGCAGCTGAGCAAAATGCTCTACCTGCCACTTTCCCTGAAGTGCCATGACCTATGCCATGGCATGAAAGAATGAATCGTAGAACTTGCTCTTCCTTCTGTATCCCTCACAGCATCTGAGATGTGCGAGGGAAGCTCAGATGCCTCTGGCCTTTGATCTTGCCTCTGCAAAAGAAGAGGATTCCTTGGTGCAGCATAGTGTAGTTGCCCCATCTTTCTCGAAACATCAGAAAGGCTTCTTTCACTCAGCATCCCTGGAACAGGTCTGTCACCCTACACATCTGCATGTGGGGATGATGCACCACCAAAGAGGCAAAGCAGAGCAAGCAAGACAAAGCCTGGATGCTCAGTCATGAGAAAGAGATATTTAGGGACAGGAAATTTCTTGCAAGAACCTCAGGAAGAGCTCCTTGAAGTCTTTCTATTCTTGTCTGTTGCATCCCTTGCAGAGGATGGCACCTTTGCTGAGGACACTTGCCCAGGTCCCTGCAGACAGAAGACACCTTTGGAAGGAGTTGTTAGTCTTTCTCATTATCAACAGGGCTCCACTGGCAGACACTGCTCTCCTAAGCTGGATCACCTGGTGCTTAAAGGGGTACCTGTAATGCTTCCTAGGAAGAGGGAGCTCTGGAGCAATCTGGGATTTCTGCTGACTGTGGATGGGCAGAGCAGTGCAGGTGGATAAACTCAAGGTGAGGTGGAAGCCAAGGGTACTGAGAACAGCTTCTGTCGTCACGTGAGGGAGACCATCCCCATCTCTTCCTTGGTCTCCTCCTCCCTGTGCATGAGGTATTTCAAGGACACAAGAACTTTTCAGGGATTCTGACTGCCCTGGAACAATTCCCAAAAGGCAACTGATGAAAGAAAACCCACATGGCTGTTGCATCTTGTCAGATCCCAAAATGCCAACCCAACTTGCACTCCTTTCAGTTCAGTGAGCCCGCCCTGCCTGCCGGGAGAATGCTCCACAGATGATGTCCCTGTGGATATCACCTATTCCTGAATCTACTGTCACATCGCTTGCTTTTCCTAACAGCCTGGTATGGCACAGTACTTATTTCTTAACCACAGGAGGAGAGATGTCCCCTGGATTTCCTCCTCTATCACTCACAGGGTTCTCTGAGGAGCAGGACTAAGCCATTAGTCCCTGCTGGTTTTACAGGCCACCTTGTGCTGTAGTCATGGATCACATCTCCATCCAGACATGGGTAGATGGGTCAGCTCTCGCATCAAGAGGATGTTCCTGTGCTTGGACCAGCTCTTTGGAGCCTTCCTGTTCAGATGGATGTCATTCCATGTGCCTGCCAGTGCTTCACTCTGTGGGGAAGTAGTTTTTGGGCACTGCTGTGCTGCTCAGAAAGCTTTAAGGTCTCTGCTCTGAGGAGCAGCAAAGTGCAGTTCTTGTGCAGTCCTTCTTGGTCACTGATGCAAAACTCCTGTCACAGGAATCCATTCCTCCTTCATTGTGCAGAGAACCTCAGTGTGAAAGACAGTGCCTGTCATGTGCTGGGTACCCTAAAATCCCCTCTGCCAGGAAGGGTGGGTGGAAGATCACTGTCTTGCTTCCTTTTAGCACTAAATTAATGCATGAAAATTTCCAAGTCATCTCATCTTCAGACACCTTGAGTCAGTGCATATCCAGCTCTGCCAAGGCACTGCTTACAGACTCCTGGATCTGGATATTTCCTCTTCATCATCCCACTTAATGTTCTGCAGTGTTGTTATCAATCCTCTTTTCCACCCACTTAGGTATGTTAGGGATCAAAGGGGATGGTCCAGCCTGTTCTATGCCTGTACCCCAAACAGCTCCTGTTGAGGGACATCACCATCTCTGGTTCACATTTGACCTGTCAGAACTTGTCTTGGTGGGGCCTCTTTGGCCAGGAGTCTGCTTCCAGACCACAGGTACTCCCTGAGGAGATATCTTCTCCCTCTTCCACACTGCTCTGAGCACATTCTAGGGAAGAAGCAAAGGTCCTGTGGAGGTGCTTAATTTTTCAGCAGTGCCCTCTCTCCCAGGCCACCCCGGCTGAGGTGGGCTCCTCTCCAGCAGCGTCCTCCCAGCCCAGCTGTAAGGGTTGATGCCTTTGTCACTGTGAGGTTGCCCTTGGCCATTAAGCATCCTGAACCTTGCAGTGCGGGACAGAAGCCTGGCACGAGGGGAAGAAGAGGTGGCCGAGCCCAGGATCCCTGGGAAATGTGGATGTGCAGAGAGAGGGAGACACAGCCCAAATACCTCAGCCTGGCAGAGGGCTCAAGGCATCACCAGATGGCCTGTTGTTAGTAGCATTCCTCACTGCAGCAGTCCTAGGCAGGTCCTCGTGGAGCAGAGGAGCGCGAGGTGGGGGCCTGCCATACCCGCCTCCCTTGGGAAACCCAAACGAACCCCAATGTTGGAAGGCCCAAACAGCTGCCTCTGCTGAGACTCTTTAAACTCCAACCTGGTGGAACTTGCAGCCGCATGTGGGAGAGAGCCAGGGCGGGAGCATGGCATGTACAACTTTTCCTCCCGGTTTTGTTTTTTCAGCCGATTTCAGCATGCCTTTTGCACTGGTGCATGGTGGGAAAGTGGTCCATCCGCAGAGCCAGACGGAAGCAACTGGGCATCTTCCTTTGACAAGTGACCCTGGCCCACTGCCTTCTATGCAAGATGCTGCCTCCCAATTGCATAGACCCCCACGAGCTGGGGATACACAGCCTTCCGGCTATGGGTTAGGTGGCCACGCAAAGCAATACCCAGGCCCCCCCCCGGGAGGGAAGACGCTACAGAGGCCACAGAGCACTGCGGTGCAAACCACCGAGACCTCAAATAACCCATGGCTCGAGTGCCGTGTATCTGATTTATACCACTCGCACACAGCCCTGGAACCTGTGGGACAAGGTGGGGGCTGCTGGAGGGCTTTAGGAAAGGGTTTGAGACCAGAGGAGGAGCCCCAGCATGGTAGCGAGACAGGCACTTGAGGCCAGCAGCAGAGAGGAGAGGGGTGAGTTGCTTTCTGCCAGCATTCCTGGGTCTGTGTGAGCAGTGCTATAAATCCACATCAGGACAGTCTCTCATGTATGATTTGCCTTGATTAACGGGTTTCCTGTTCTTTTCCTGTTTGTCCGTTTGTTTTTTTTCTCTCCTGTTTTCCTGTACTATTTTTCGTTTGTACGTTTTTCCGCTCTCTGGGAATGCCTCCTCTCTCTCTGCATCTCCCTCCCTCCCCTTCCCCCTCCATGAGCAGTGGCCGAATCCATTACACTGAGATGTATGAAATGCTGACTCTTATGTCACCACCGCTAGGCCTCGGCAAGAGATGTCCTTCCAAAGTGGCCTATAAGGTAGATCAACCCTTCCTTCTACGGGGGTCAGAGCTGAGCAGGAGCTGTGGGAGGTGGGACTGGGGGAGCCGGGGAGGTGTTGGGGAGTCCAACATGTGCTTAGCTTGCCCCTGGGGAGCCTGGTGTGCTCAGAAGAGCCCTGGCCACGTTGGCTGGTCTCCACTGCCCGCGCACGTGGCACTGCCATGGTCACTCAGAGCCCCGGGGATGGAAGACCCCAGTGGAAGAGGAGGGGCAGGATGAGCAATAGTGTGGAAGTGTGAGGGTTGCAGGGGATGAGGTGGGGAGCAGCCCTGTAGTACAGTTGGGAGAGTGAGATGTCCTTAGGAGCTCACTGAACTGAGCTCATCCCCGGGGTTTGGAGCCACCCTCATCCCAGCCAGCACAGAAGCCCATGGAGACGGGAGGCAGGTGGGCAGCAAGGACAAGCCCCACAGAAGCAGCTCTGCTGTGTGTGAGGAGCCAGGTGCACTGGCACGGGCTGTCCCAAGGATGGCTTGTGCAAGGCAAAGCCAGGTGCCTTCTAAAGGTGTCTCTGAGTTTTCCCCCCCGGGGTGGTGACTCTCAATCAGCTCCTGGCACCGGCACAGCGTGTTCCCAGCTGTGCAGGCATGGAGCAGGAGCACAGGAAGCCCTGAAGGACGTGGGGTGGGAGCTGCATGGCTTTGCCAAGGGCATTATCTGCCAGGACATGACCAAGAGCTTTGGAGTGATTTGTTGTCCAGGTGTGGAGCAAATGGAAGCTTTTATTGGCCATGGGCTGCTGCCCACAGCCCTTTCAGCAGTGTTCAGGGCTAGTGCAAGGGGATTCCTGCACAATTCCAAACACGCTTCCACCCTCTCCAGCTCTCATTTGTTTGTTCACACAAGCATACATCCACCATCACACTTTTCCAGGAGAAAAAGGGAGGCTTGAAGACAGGGAAAGGACATGAGAATCCATGCGAAAAAGAAAAGAAATGGGCAGGGAAGGGATGACCCAAGGTATTCACAAAGCAAAATATACTCTCGGGAAAGTGGATCTGGTCACTTCGGTTTGCACCCCGCCTGCCCAGGGTGGGGAAGGAGCATGGCGTGTCTAACCTGCCTTGGTTGCCCTTTTCTCCTTCCTTCTGCACTTTTTCTACCCTCCCTTCCCTTCCCTTCCCTTCCCCACCCCTGGATAATTTGGACCCCCTGCATGTGCTGGCAAACTTCATCTCTGAAAGACGCAAAAAGGGAGCGCCAGGATGTAGCATGCTAGAGGAATCCAGCTGATCTGAAGTCCCTGAAGGTTAGGGACCCTCCTCTCCCCTGCCCCAGGTGGGAAGGGTTGAGAGCTGGAAAGCCAAACCACCTGGGAACGGAAACCTGAGCCCCCTCTCCCCTTCCCGCACATCCCACATGCCTGCATCCCTGATGGATCAGGTGTGTCTTCCCAAAAGTGCCGGGAGGTGCTGTGGCAGCCCCGGTGCCATGGGAAGGGGGGCTCAGGGGCCGTTCCTGGGGTGCAGGAGGAGCCCTGGAAGGCAGTGAGCCGGTGTCCTGGGGTGGAAGGAGCCGGGGGGGGGGGGGGGGGGGGGGGGGGGGTGGGGGGGGTGATCCTTGCCCTTCTTTTTTGGCTGTGCTGTTTTGACACTCTTTGTTGCTTTTTATTTTTTTTTTAATTTTTATTTTTTTTTTCCCTTTTGTTTAATGTTTAATTTCTTTTCCTCCAGCCTGGTCGATGTGTTTTTCGATATTGTTTTCCGTCCGCTGTTTTCTTCTCTCTCTTGCGCAGAGACTGGTGCTGATGAACATGCCCGTGGCCGAGGACATGACGGTCCATTTCACCTCCACCTTGATGGCGCTGATACGCACGGCCTTGGACATCAAAATTGCCAAAGGTAGCGTCGGTGGCAGAGAGAGGGGACAGAGCCAGGAGGGCTGCAGGGTGACTGTCGTCCTGTCAGAGTGGTTTGTGTTGGAAGGATCCTTAAAGATCATCTTGTTCCAACCCCTGATACCTTCCACTAGACCAGTCGCTCCAAGCCCCGTCCAACCTGACCTTGAGCGCTTCCAGGGATGGGGCATCCACAGCTTCTCTGGGTGACCTGGCATATGGGTGACAGCAATTACCTTGAACGGGCAAATTTTTGCCACTATCTCTAAAAAATGTATTTCTTTAGGGAAGAGGTGGCCAATTTTTCACTTGAAGCTGTTTCTAGAGGGTAAAAACAGCTTGATGTCCACTGTGTAATGGAGGAGAGAGAGAATTCCCCTTCCTCCCTGTGTGCAAAACGAAATCAAGGAGAGGGGAAATGTGCTTGACTTCCTAAGGCTGTGGGGAAAGAAATCTCTCTCTCAGGGAAGATAAAATGTTCAGAGCAGGAAAACCTTCTTTGTTGTTGTTACTGGAAAGGCTGTGATTCATCAGATCAAAAACTTCCTGCAGAAACATGGCATTTTCAATAACACATCCCCTGGGAACAGCTCAGCTATTGGAAGAAAACCCAACCCAGGGCAAGATATCAGCCAAAGCCCAGTCCTCAGACAACTTGAATCTTGAAGCGATGGGTTCAAGCCCCTTGAGATAAAGCAGAGATTTGAACCTTTGTCTCCTGCAGCTCACTCGAGTTGCCCTGGGCTCAGGTGTCTCTGGTTCATCCATGTTGACAGCTCCTGATGAGCCTGGGTCTTCCTAAGCTCAGCAACCCCCTTCACCACTGGCCAGAGAGCTCTGCTCTCCATGCACAGCCTCACTAAGCATTTAAAGATTTACCAAGTGGAGCTGCTCTTTCACCAGCACATGATCCACTCACCAGGAAAGTGGGGCAGCAGCAGGTGTGTGTGGGCAGGAGTAGGATTGGAGCTGCAGAGACGGACCCAAGGCAAGCTTGAAGGTGGCAGCTTTGAGTGGGAGGGCAGGGGATGGGGAGATGGAGGCACATATGGAAGGGATGGTAGGAAAGTTTCCCCGTGAGAGCAGGAGACCAGGCTTGCTGATGCAAGATGGCCCTCCCAGCCCAGAGAGCTGGTTGCTGCTTGTGAGCCTCCCTTCAGGATGGGAGAGGGGGGGATTAGGTGGACCCTGGTGCCAGGTCTTGATGTGTGTGGGCCATTTTTACCCCCCGTTGTTCTAGGTGGTGCAGATTGGCAGCAGTTGGACTCTGAGCTTCAAAAGGAGATCCTGACCATTTGGCCTCACCTGTCCCAGAAGATGCTTGACCTGCTGGTACCCATGCCAAAAAGTGAGTCTCTGGGGGTGCTGTCAAATTCCCATCATCCTCACAGCAACTTCTTCCCAAAGGGAGGTGGGGACTGTTCAGACCCATCCCCAGCTGGTGGAGAAGTAGGGGAAGGGTTTGTTGCTACAGGCTGGCTTCTATCTTGTTCTGCTTGGCTGCTTGGGAACTCTCTTGAAAAATCACCCAGTTTGCAGGGATCTACTCCTGCCAAACCCAGAGTCTCCTGTAAATCATCTCTGGAGCATATCGGGGAGGGAGGATGAGCATCACTTGTGCTGTTACATCTGATGACGTGATGAGGGTGTGTGCCTTGGTGGCTTAGGGTGATGATTTCAAGCCATCTGCATTCATTTTATCTCTATGAGGAGTGTCTGGGTGTTCAGCGCTCTCTCTTTTGGAGCAGCGAGCGGAGTCTGAGGGTAACCAGGGTATCCCACAGCAGTGCTCTTCCTGAGGTCCACGCTGATGCCTTCAAACCTGCTGTTTCTGTTACAACACGAGTGTTCCCACTTTGTTCCCTGTTATGCTCTCAGCCTCTGACCTGACTGTTGGGAAAATATATGCAGCCATGATGATCATGGATTACTACAAGCAGAGCAAAGCGAAGAAGCAGCGGCAGCAGCTGGAGGAGCAGGTGAGGCTCAGTGAGGGCACGTGGTGGGCAGATCCCTCTTGTTGCTTCCCACCACCTCCCAAACAAACACACAGCCAGCAGCGTGGGATGCAGCTGGGGATGAAGGTGGTGGTACAGGTTGGGGTTTGGCAACTACAGGGCACGTGTACGTGCCTTGGTATCCTCAGTCCCTGACAGCATGATGTCCCCTTCCCAAGTGGTGGGAGCTTGGTTGGTGAAGTGCTGGATGTCTGTTTACATTTCCTACAGGCTCAGTCTCTTCCTCTCTTCAATACAGAAAAATGCCCCCATGTTCCAGCGCATGGAGCCATCCTCCTTGCCGCAGGAAATCATCTCCAACGCCAAGGCTCTGCCGTACCTCCAGCAGGACACCCTGACCGGCCTGTGAGTACTGCCCTGACAAGAGAGGTGGTCCTGGCTCTTTTCTGTTCCTGCAGCGCTTGTTTTGTTCTTGGAGCTGGCACTGGGATGCACAGAGGGTTAAATTGCTGCTGGGAGCAGGGAAAACACAGTCCTGGGCACAAAGCTTTTGCAGGATTCCAGGTAGCCAGTGTGCCTCAGCATCACCAACAGCAGCAGAGGTGGCAAAGAGGGATGGCCGAGGGTCTGCATGGACGTTCTTGCTGCAGGACCATCCCAGCACTAAGTGCTGGCACTTTTACCTAGGAGGGTCTGGGATGGACCTGAACCCTGGGAGCAGTTGAGCAGTGGGTCCCTGGATGGTGCAGGGTCAGTGGGACATCCCAGCACCCAGGCTGGTGGGAATGAGATGGTGGGAATTGCTGGCACTGAGCTTGGTATGTCCCCACTGCTGCTGGGGGACCCGAGGCACTGGTGTCCTCTCCTGCCTTGGCACCACTCCAGCCCTCCACAGAACGTGATGTTTGTCCTGAGGGTTTTGAAGGCCTGGGTAGCAAGCACAGGGGCTCCCCAGCTCTGAGCCGCTGGAGGGGCGATGCCCAGCGATGGCAGCACCTGGCTTGTGGCCTCTCTGAAGCTGGGCTGTCTTTGCAGGAGCGGCCGAAGTGGGTTCCCCTCGCTGAGCCCGCTCTCACCGCAGGAGATCTTCCAGCTGGCCTGCATGGATCCAGCCCAAGAGCAGTTCCAGGAGCACGAGTCTCTGGTAAAGTCACCCACTGCCTGACGGGCGCTCACCTGCAGTCCCGGCACGGATGCTGGTGGGCACGGGGAGGTGTGGGGAGTGGGCACGGCACAGGGAAGGCAGCTGCTGGGTCATACACACATCCGAAGCACAGGATAAATGTCCCCAGGTGTGCTCTGCCCCTCTCCTCTGGCACTGGGTTCACAGCCAGCCCTGGCCAGTGGGGTCAGGCAGCAGCAAGTGCTTTAGGGGCAAGAGCTGTGACCGTAGTCCGATGTCCTGCAGTAAAATGTCCTTCTCTTCACAGGCGCTCATTTCAGTGGGTTACCCCGTGCTGAGTGATGGTATCTGATGTTTTCGGGTTCATGTTCATTTTGTTGTCAGTGCTGGTGTCCCCAGTCCCAAACCAAGCTGTCAGACTGTTTCCAAGGGGAGCACACCCCTCCGGCCCCACACACATGCCGGCCTGTCTGTCTGTGTGTGTATATATATATACATATCTATATATATCTCTCCATGTCTGTGTGTGCCCTCGTGCACCACCCAACGCTGTCGGATGCAGTGTTGTACCACTGTGCATCTCCAGCCCAGTCCGTGTCCCTGGGGTCTGTAGCACTCTGTGTGAGCTGTGTACCCCTGCCCCCGCCACCCCCACCACATGGGAAGGTGGCAGATGAGACTCTCCCCCTCCCCATTAAGTTACCTACTAGCAGATCTCTCCAGAGTTACTGCCTGCCCGTCTCCTTATCCTGTACAAAGGCTCCTCTCAGCTGGGAATATACCAGTGTGCTGTAGGCAGCATGTGTTCTTTTAATGGGGATGTGTCCAGGAAGCCTTTAAAGCATGGTCAGAGAGAAAATCCTATAAATTTATCCCCTCATGGCAAAAGAAGGAGTTCAAGTGTGGGCAGTCAAGGCATCACCAGATCCAGGCAGGGTTGCCACTGTCACTGAAAGAGGTACAAGGTGAGCTGGCCATCAGGCAAACCTGAAGCATCACATCAAGGCTCACCTGCAATGGATAGTGAACTGGAGATTATTTTTTTTATGGCAACATGATGAATTATAAAGTCTTAGACTCTGTTTTTCATAGAATCATAGGATAGTTCAGGTTGGAAGGGACTTTTAAAGCTCACCTATTTCCAACCCCCCTGCAAGTTCAACTTGCTCAGGTTGCTCAGAGCCCTGTCCAACCTGCCCTTGAGTGTTTCCAGGGATGGGGCATCCACACCTTTCTGGACAACCTGTGCCGGTGTCTCACCACCCATTTTTGGCCCACTTAAATTCTGCCTCTGGTTGATCAAGCAGGGCTGTCCCCTGCCAACAGGGCAGAAGCAGCGCACTGCCCTCCTCCAACTCCATCCCAAGAGCTTGGCTGTGTGTTTGTTTCCAGGAGCCAGAGGTTAGGGAGTTTCAAAGAGTGCAGCCCTCTAACCGTGGCAGCTACCTTCCCGTGGACACTCAGGACCACGCTGTCTCTGGGAGGGCCTCCTCCATGCCTCGTCTCACTGTGGATCCCCAGGTAAAACCAAACAAAGCCCCCACGGGTGCCAGGTCCATTCAAAGCCTGCCAGGTAACACTGGGGCTTCTCTCTGTGCTGAGCCTCGTGGCTTCCCCACACCCCAGTACTGGAGCATCTCCCCTTCTCTGGGGTGCTGCACAAGTAGGAGAGCTGCTGTTCCCCTACATGGGGGACACTGGCAGCAGAGAGCAGCCTGGGGAATCGATCTCCTGGCTCATGGGGGAGGTCCATGGTGGAGCAGGACCATGCAGGGTCTCCTCACAGTGGGACACCCCTCCTTTCCTCCGGCTCCGGGCACTGGCTGAGGTTTGAGGATTTCCAGCCCAGCTGTCAGATGATCTCACAGGTGATGAAATGCGTTTTCTGTCCTTTCCTGTTGTCCCAACACATGTTCTTCTCTGTCTGTCCAGAGGAACTCAGGCCACATCTCACCTCCTCATTTGTCTCCCTAGTTTCTCTGTTATGTCTTGTGCTCAGCCTCCACCAAGAAACTGATGCTTTTATGGGGTTCGGTGTTGCTGTGAAATCTCTGGGTCTGCTTTCTCCCAGAGGTGCTGGTGCAGGCACCAGGTCCTAGTGTTGGTGGCAGTGTGACACATTTTGGCACTTTGGGGTGGTGTGAAGAGGAAGCCTCATGGGCTTTCTTGACCATTCAGCAGCAGAGGAGATGATTAGAAGGAGGGGATGGGAGCAAAAATGGTGAGAGGAGATGAGATGAGATGGAGGATGGCCTGAGGCTGCAGAGGCAAAGACCTGCTAGAATAAAGCAAAGGAAATATGGAAGGGGGTGATGTTTCCCCCATAATGGTGAGAACGCAAGCTAGAAGGAGGGGATAGAGAAAGAAAAGGAAAGATAAAGTAACAGCATCAGTGGGGAGAGAGGGAATGAGTGCAGGGGAAAAGAGATGGGGATGTGGGAATAAAGGAAGAGTAGGGAGGGGTCTGGAAAATTGGTGGCAGCCATGAACACAGACCGATGGGCACTGGATGATCCCCTCTCTGTCAACGATTTCTTCAATGTTTGCTCCACTTGACCCTGTTTTCCAGGCAGGGAGGGATGTTGAGACAGCCTTGGGGAAAATGGTCTGGTACCCTCCACGTCCCCATGCCTGGGGGAGATGCTGCCAACACCCCCCCAGCACTCAGCACCTTGGCTTCAATCGAGGCAGCCGGCTTGGCTTGTGCAGAATGGCTCCAGCCAGCTGGGGAAGGGGAGCCCACGAGCACCAAGGCTGAACCCCACTTTCCTGCCACTCCTGATTTGTGCAGAGATCATATGGAGGGGCTGTGCTCGGGCTGGCTGCTCCCCGCCCTAAATCTCCCCATCCTGCAGGGCTGGTGATCCCAGTGATGGGGGTGAACTGGTAACTCTTGGCCGCCGTGGCCCCCAGCCCTGCCTGGTGCTAACCCCCTCCCCGGCTGGCCGGGGTTGCTTGCAGGTGGTGACAGACACCAGCTCGATGCGGCGATCGTTTTCCACCATCCGGGACAAGCGCCCCAACAGCTCCTGGCTGGATGAGTTCTCCATGGAGCGCAGCAGCGAGAACACCTACAAGTCCCGCCGGCGCAGCTACCACTCCTCGCTCCAGCTGTCCGCCCGGCGCCTCAACGCTGACTCGGGTGAGCAAGGGCAGGTGGCCCCATTCCACACCGGATCCCCAAAAAAACCTCCAGCGTGAGCGTTCCCTGCTCCTGCAAAGGGGATGGTGTGGACTGATGTGGATGTCCCGCAGGCCACCGGTCCGAGGGGCACCGCTCGGGCAGGGAGCGGGGCCGATCCAAAGAGCGCAAGCACTTGCTGTCCCCCGACATCTCCCGCTGCAACTCTGAGGAGAGGAGTCCCCAGGCACAGGACGAGTCGCCGGAGCGGCGGCGTGAGTCCCGGTCACCCAGCGAGGGCAGGTCACAGACGCCCAGCAGGCAGGTGAGTGACAAAAACCCTCCCTAAGCACAAAGGGAAGCATAAAAAAAGCTCCTAGCCAAAACTGGGAAGACAAGACCCCACTGCAGGAGCTCTGCACTGTCTCTCTTCCTTGTGGTGGCATCTCCGTGTCCCCTGTGAGCTGAGCAGGTTGGGGCTGCTCGGGCACCCTGCAGAGCATTTGGGAAGAGGGGTGGATCTCACACTGGTCCTCTCACTGCTGTGGCATCCACGCCCTGCCAAGGTCAAGGTGTCCCAGCTACACAAGCCTGGAGCTGCCAGTGCTTGAGTCAGCTTGAAGCCCACGGAGATGCTGCCTGTGGAGACCAGCAGCTGGCGAGCTGTCAGCTCTTCCTGCAGTGGGTCTGTGGGTGCTTTTTGCTTTTGACCACCAAAAGCATAGAATCATAGAATATCCTGAGTTGGAAGGGACCCACAAGGATCATTGAGTCCAGCTCCTGGCCATAGAGTCCCACCATGTGCTGAGAGCATTGTCCAAATGCTTCTTGAGCTCTGTCAGGCTTGGTGCTGTGAGCACTTCCTTGGGGAGCCTATTCCAACTGCCTTCTTGGGGAAGAACCATTTCCTAATACCCAGCCTAAATCTCCCCCTGACACACCTTAATGCTGTTCCCTCGGGTCCTGTCTCTGGCTGGAGATTGATGCCTGCCCCTTGTGAGGACGCTGCAGACCCCGATGAGGTTTGCCCTCAGCAGGCATCATCCTCATCCCTGGAGCAGATCCCGAGGCAGGGATGGGGCGGGCAAAGGCACAGCGGGGCCCCCATCCGAGAGGGAGGATTCTACGGGAAGCTCAGGCTCAGATTGGGGGGAAATGCGTGCACGGTGCTGCCTGTTGCCTCTGTATCCTCTGTATTCCCCGGCGCGTCTCGGTGCGTTGCAGGGAATGGGCTCCCTGAGCGAAAGCTCCATCCCCTCCATCTCGGACACCAGCACCCCCCGGCGAGGCCGCCGCCAGCTCCCGCCGGTGCCTCCCAAGCCGCGTCCCCTCCTGTCCTACGCCTCCATGCTCCGGCACGCCGGGGACGCCTCGCCGCCCGCCGAGGAGAGCGAGGGGGGCTCCCCGCTCCTCTCCTCCACCCTGGATCCCAACACCGCCGGCCTGACCGAGTCTTCCAGCTCCCCGGCGGGGAAGCAGAGCCGGCAGTCCACGCCGCAGCGCTACATCTCGGAGCCCTACCTGGCCCTGCACGACGACTCGCACGCCTCAGACTGCGGTGAGGAGGAGACGCTCACCTTCGAGGCGGCCGTCGCCACCAGCCTCGGCCGCTCCAACACCATCGGCTCGGCGCCGCCGCTGCGGCACAGCTGGCAGATGCCCAACGGGCACTACCGGCGGCGGAGGCGAGGGGCAGGGCAGGGCGTGATGTGCGGGGCCAGCATCGACGTGCTCAGCGACACCGAGGAAGACGACAAGTGCTAGAAGCTGCCCCCCCTCGCACCCCATCTCGGCTGCCCCAACCCCCCCCCCGCCCTTTGCCCCCCAACCAGCCCCGCCGCCCTCGACCCCCCCTCTCCAATGCATGCTCTTTTGCCACGCCTGGGAATGAAACTTAAACCGAAACCAAATGCAGGGGAAAAAAAAAAAAGGAGAAAATCAAAACCGACCGGAACGGAGGGGGGGATAAAAAAAAAAAAGAGAAAAAAAGAAAAAAAAGTCTTTGTGCAAAAAAAAAAAAAAATTAAAATCTGTCGAGTTTCATTTATTACTATCACTTTTTTTTTCTGCACAGAGAAGCATTTAATGGGCGGTGGAGTGGCCCGGCCGGGTGTGCAAGCTGGGGGGCAAGGGGGAGCCCCCCCAGCCGCAGCCCAGCTCCCTGCCCCAAGTGGGACCCCCGGGAAGGCTCATCCTGATGGTTTTCTGCTCCCCAAGGCCAGAGAGCCCCAGCAAGGGGGTACCAGGGGCCCCCTTTGCTCTATTGCTTGGGCTTGTGCTGCTGTGGCTTTGAATTACCCTCCCTGGGGGTCTCATCCTGCCGGGAAAAGGGGCAAGGTGTGATGGCGAGGTGCAGGGGATAAGAGTGCACCAGACAGACCAGAGCAGCTCTGTCTGCCAGTGGGGGCAAAACTGAAGCCAACTGGTTTGTACTGGGGCAGGGGGGCTCAGTGCTGCCGAATGTATACTGTCTCCCACCGACATATATTTATTTATATACGGAGAACTCTAGGTGTGCCTGTGTGTGTATATATGGGTGGGTGTGTGTATATATATTTATATGCTGTATATATAAAGATATACACATACATGGATTTGTTTAAGTCACCTGACAATGCTGGGGAGCCCCTTGGGGCTTTTGCTGCCTGCACCCCCTTTGGTGGGGGCAGGACCAAGCCTCCCCAGGGGGCTGCTGTGCACCTGTCGCTGTAGCAGAGCCTTGGGAATGTCACCCTGCTCCCTGTTCCAGGCGTTTCCAGTGGTGGGAATTGCATTTTCTCCATTAGAGATGGCTGTGGCAAAGGGTCCTTGGGCAGCTCATCTGCCGGCAGTGCCTGCAGGAGTGGGATGCCCAAGGGATGAGGATGGGGTTGTTCCTGGGGGTGCAGCTCACTTGGCACCAGTGCTGCCAAGATGGTGACAGCAAACCTCTCAGCGGCCTCTTTGCTGTGTTTTCCCAGGAAAAGAAGATATCCATGTCTGCAGGGGAGTGAAGATGTTGTGCATGCATGATGGTATCTTAAGGTCTGTCCTCCTGGGAGAGGAGCCTGACTTTGGCACCACCCCTGCCTCAGTTTCCCCTGCAGCCATGGCCCCTGCCCATTCCTGGGGCCTAGCACCTCCTTTGGAGAGAGGAGCTGCCACATGGGGGGGCTGGGTTTGCAAACCCCATGCCCCCGGTGCTGGAGCAGGTGGGTGTCTGAGAGCTGGTGGAACTTTGAGAGAGGAGCATGGTCTGGGGGGTGAGCAGGGTGGCTCACCCCTCCTGCAAACACTGAAAATGCAGGGCCACCTTGGCCACCTTCCAGCGCTGGTCATTAACTAAGCTGATAATTATGTGCTGTCAGCTCTTAAGGATCCGTGCACACCCTCGGCTGTGGGTGCGATGCTGTGCCTGCCAGCCCAGGGAGGTGCTGGTGGCCTCGTGGTGATGTGTGGCTCACCCTGGTGATCAGTGGTGTGTTTCTGCTATGAGTTGTGTCTCTCGTCAGCCTGAGCGTGGTCCTGGGGATCCAGAGGGTGCTGTGCCTTTGGAGCCTCAGGAAGGGCTTGCTCTGTGGGCCAGGGGGTGGTCGGTGGGTTTGGACCAGGCGTGGCCGTGTTTGTGGAGATGGGCAGGGGGAGGCAGTGCAGCCCTCGTCCTGCCCTTCCTCCTGCTCACGGCTGTGCTGTGCTGCAGGTTGTTGTGGTGTGAGTCCTTGGGGCTGTTCTTCTGCAGAGCAGTGGCTCTGGCCAAGCTTTGCTTTGGTCCTGGATAACTCATGTCTTCTCCTGACTGAAAGATGCTATGGGCACAAAGTGCCCCCCTCCTGCATGTGCAGATCAGTCCCTGCCCTGATTGCTTTGTGAGCTCCCCTGATGGAGCTCTGCTTTGTGAGAAGCGAGTCCCACCACTTCCAAACGCTGCCTACTCCAGGGCTTGGGCATGGACCAAAATCCTTCTTTCTAGTGGTCAAACTGCCCTCTGTGCACCGAAGTTTCGCTTATGGGGCCTAAAGCTGCTCCTGCCTCCGTTGGTCCCTGCTAGTGGGTGGCACCTCTGCTGTCCCTGCTCACCCTGTGCTTCCCAAACAGACACTACCACCTGCCAAAGGATCAAAAAATTCCCCAGGAAGCCCTTTCCATTGCTCTGGCTCAGATCCTGCATCCCCCATGTCGGCATTTGGGGACAAACCATGCCCCATTCAGCTGTGGGGAAGGTCCCTAGTGCTGGCTGGGGGCGTAGGCATCACCTGTCCCCTTCCAGCCATCTGTGAGCAGTTCATGGCTTCAGCCTGAAGCTGTGGGAGCATTGCTCCCTGTGCTGGAATTTGGGGGAGCCGGGTCTGACGGGCAGTGTGGGATTGCGTGGGATCCGGGACCGGGGCCGTGGTGGTGCTGGGGGCCGGGGGAGGCGATGCCGTACCTGCTCTAAATATAGGTGGTGGAATCGTCTCCTTCTAAATGCAGAAAGGTGTCTGACAATGCACCGGGCTCTGAGTAACAGCCCGCGGGGAGGGGAGGAGGCGGCTTTTTGTGTCTGTGCCTGGCGGGTGGGAGGGAGGGAGTGATGCTCTCAAAGCGGGGGCACGTTTCATACGGATTTCAGGCTTTGAGCGTTTTTCTTTCCTCAGCCCCCGAGTGGGGCCGGTGAGCAGTGTGTGCTGATGCTCTACAGTGGTGGTACAGGCTGGGGCACAACCCCTGGTGGCACTGGGCTGCAGTGTCCAAACCTGAGCTTTTTGGCATGTCAGCCCCGCGTTTAACTAACGTACAAAAACTGTGTGGAACAAAACAGAGCCCGTCTTTTACCCTGAGAGGGCCCAAAAAATGCCCTGCTTCTGTGCCTCCTGAAACAGCCACAGTCCTGCTCCCATGGTGGGAGGACAGGCAGGGACCCACGAGGACAAGGTGGCACCTCCAAAACACGTCTCTGAAACCAAAAACACCACCCAGGAGAACCACGGAAAGGACTGTGCTGAGGGGGAAGGTAAACCAGCCCCAAGATGCCATTGCAGCCTGTGCCTTGCTTTCCAAGGCTCTGGACTCGCTTTGCTGCGGTACAATCTCTTATCTGTGGCTTTCTGGACATTCCCTTCTCCTCCCGGACACCAAGGATCTGCCAATGCCCTCGCCGTCTGTGGCTGTGGCCATGCTTGACCGTGGGAGGGAGGATGAGAAGCGAGGGATGTATTTCAACCTCTCCCTGCATAGGACATGCCCCTGCCCAGGCAGGAGTTCACCAGTAGCATGCAACTGGTTCCCATTTCGGTGCTGGGACTGGACTCAAAGCCCTGCAAAGCTCCTGGGTGGAGATTGTGGTGGGTTTGTGGGGAGATGAGCACAGGGCCCTGCTGTCCCCTCCAGGCTGGTTGTCCCAGCACCATCCTCCTGTTCTGCCACGAGGCCTCAGACGGCAGAGCCCCCCAGGTGTGGGGCTGGTGGCTCCTGGGGCTGTGGGAGGGTGGGTGGGAGATGCTCTGCCTTCACTCCCAGGCTCGGGGGTGGGATGTTGTAACATAACATGCTCGTTCGGACCCAAACAGGGAACCGAGCCGATTGAAAACAATGTACAACTTCAATGTTTTTTGTCAAAAGGAAAGAAAAATAAAACCTTGTTGTAAAGAACCGCTGCAGACCCTGTCTCATTGGCACCCCCCATGCTGGTGGGGCCATGGGGACTCTGGGTGAGATGATGGACCTCTGCAAAAGGTCCCCAAGGCAGGGAAGGGGTGGCACACAGCCTGTGCTGACAGTCCCATCAACATGGGATGGGGGGTTACCCAGCGTGGACATCCCTATGTCCCCAAGCAGGGTGGGGAGCTGCGAAGAAGAGAAACAGGGAGGATGTTTGGGAAGGGTTGGTGTCCTGGGGGAGCTGTGGCTTGTGCCTGGCTGCTTCCAGGCATGCCAGCTGGGGGGCACTGGGCATCTTGGGGGTCCAAGACCAGGAGCTTGAGGAGCTGTGAACACTGGCACCACAGCAAACCTCCAGGGGAAGCCAAGAGCATCATGATGATATTGTATTGCTGAAGAAATGCAAGGGACCATCAGCCTGGAAACCGAGGGCTTGGAAACCCTGCTGGGATCTGCTGCTTTGGGGAATTCAAACAGCTTGGCCACCTCTCCATGCCTGCGCCCAGGAGACGTCAAGTGTATGCTGATGCTGTTGCCTGGTCCAAAGCTCATGGGTGAGTTGTCAAGCAAAGATGCTGAAGTCATGTTTTATATTTCTTCTTTGCAGAGCTGTTTAAAGCACAGAAAGTTCTCAGGCAGTCAGAGGTGAGGCAGCAGCCTGTGGCAGCCTCCGGGCTGAGCACGGGTGACAGGGATGGTTTATGGCTTTTCAACAGGACTCTTTTTCTTCCCAGTGACAGGAGGGTGCCAAGTAGAGCTCAGGGAAGGATGAAGGCAGTCGCCTTGTTTGTCTGGACCACTTTGAGATGAGCTTTACCCTGTGTGTTTCCCATGTGCTGCAGTCCCTCTCTTTGGGGTGCCAACTTGTACTAAGCCCAAATGTAAGAATTGGCTTTGTCTTGCTCTTTGCTTTGTGCATCTTTCCCTTTATTCTGTTCTATCTATTGGGTCACCAGAAACCCAAATGCTGACAGGCTTAGTTTTCAGTTCTTTGGCTCATGAAGTGATGAAAAGCATGTTTTCAGTGGGAAGTGTACAGTTCCAGGAGATGGCCCAGCTTTGAGAGCACTTCCTGAGGCGATGGATGCAGTGACAGCCCAGCATTTTTTCAGGCTGGGAAGTGAATTCCCACTTTATAGTCAAGAAAATGTTCTGCACTCCTGACTGTAGGAAAGGCTCTGTGGGGTGGTGATGAGGGCTTTGCACTGGTGCTGGAAGCAGTTTGAGGAGAGGACCTCCTCCTGTGCGAGCCATAAGTCCTGCATTGACGTTCTTTGAAGTGATTGTCTTCAGTATGAGCTGCTCCAAAGGCTTTGAAAGCAGGATGGAGTATGCAGGTGTCTCTGATGGACATCCCGTGGAGCCCTGCTTGGGAGGTTGGTACCAGGAAGAGTGATGGATGTAGCTAGTTGAGTGCTTAACCACCTCTACCACGTTTCCCCAAAACCCTCAAAATATCTGGGGCCATGAAGACGCCCATGAGCAAGGCAGAGAGGCAGAGCTTCACCCTAGCAAGGGAAACTGGTGCTGCAAAATGGGGAGCCTCTGCTGCCGGAGAGCCAGCCTCTGGCTGGCAGGCGCAGAGGCTAAAAAAAGCCCCTTGACAAATGGAACAGAAAGGTTAAAATTATCTGTACATCATCTGAATAACAATGGCAATGCAGATTGTACCTGCTTATAATAGCTCCAGGAGACAGGGGATAAATTGGGAACAAAAGTACCCCAGAAACAGATGCTGCTGGCGTGCGGCTGCCAGAAGTGCTGGGGCTGCTCCTCCTCGCCGGCGCTTGCAGAGCTGTGGGGGACAGGTTCACTAGAAACCCAAAAGCCTGGCCTGTGTGTGCTCCCCTCACCTTGCCCTGGGTGCTCCAGGACCCTTCCAGCCCCAGGTCCCAGGCAGAGCTGCCCAGGCAGCTCATGGGCTCCCGGGATGTGGAAGCAGTCCCTCCCCTCTGTACCAGCATTGCAGAGAATGTTGTGTATGGCTTGTCTTGCATCCAGGTACCTGGAGGATGTGAATAGTCCTTTTTCTGGGACTGCTGCAGATCATCCCCCCGTAACCTGGCTCTTTTTCCTGGGAAAAGACCCTTCCTGGGAAGAAGCCTCATCTTATTAGATTTTTTTTCTCTCTGTCTCTGCCCTGCTTTTCTCCTGCAGTGCCAAATGGAGGCCCATGGCACTGGGTGCATCTGTAGCTCTGTGGGCACTGGCTCTTCCCTAAAGGCTTTCTGGGCAGGATGTCAGCAATTGTCCACCTCTGGGGGTTTGCAAGAGAAGCCAGGCTCTGGTCCTTGGGACTCAAACACACCCTCAGTCAAATGCCTGGTGATGACCATGCTCACTCCTCTGGCAAAACAAGGGAAACTTGGATGTGAAGATGCTGGACTCAAACCCAAGTCCCGTGGGGGTGGAAAGGACAACAGGAGGGGACAGGGTCTTGAAAGAATGAAACCTTTTGTCTTCCTTTTTTCAGTCCCAGTGAGGTGTTTAAAATCCATATGTTCAAGGATGAGCGGGCAGGGATTTGTTCCTGATAGGGGGCACAGCTGACGGCTCAGAGGGGAAATGCTGGGGTGGCTCTCATCCCCCTCCTTCCCTTTCGTTCCTCCAGTGGCACTTGCAAGCACGTTTTCACAGTGCCAAGGATGTGTGTGGGCTCTGAAGTGGGGCTGGTGCTTACTCATGCCGGGAGCCATGTGGAGCTGCTGGCTCACAGGCTGGCAGCACCGGCAGTTCCCCGAGTGAGCATCCCCCCCATGGGCGAGCATTCCCACATAGGTCAGCATCACCCCACAGGTGAGCATCACCCTGAAAAACAAGCGCATACAACCTCCAGTCCTTTCCAGAACCAGCGTGGCTTTCAAAGTTAGTGGGATGTGCTCGCAAGGGTTGTCCTCCCCGAAGGGCTGGAACATCCTGGCCTGGCTCAGCACCTCTATTTTTTCTTCTTTTCATTTATTTATGTCTCTTGACAGTGATCTGCCCTGCTCAGTGATGTAGTGCTGCACATCTACGCTGGCTGTATTTGTCAGACTCCGTGAGCAAGGAGTCTGTCGAGCAGGTAAAATACCGTGGACCTCCCTGGAAACTGATCCCTACAAGTGCCCAGGAGAGCCAGCTGGTACATACTGTCTCCCACAAGGTTCTTGGGAGCTGTTTGGTGTCACCTTCAGCTTTAACAGGCAGCAGGGAGGAAGAGGATGGGCAGGGCTGGTCTCACCTCTGCCTCTCCCATGGTCTTGTCTTGTCTCAAAATTCACAATCCTATTTCCTGGTTAAATGCCACTGAGCAGGAAAGAGCCCACTGTTCATTTGCTTTTGCTATTTCTGTGTGGATAATTAAAAAAAAAACAGATCAACACAATTCTGGCTTCTAAATGAATGCCAAAAGTGTTAATTGCTCTCCTTCTCCAGCTGATATCACCCTCTCCCCAAAACAGGGCTCTCCAGGTGTCCCTGGCAGCGGGCAGTCGGGTGCTGGGAGAGCTGGGTGAGTGGGTAGCAACCCAACAGTGGCAATTAGCAGCCAAGATCACCCAAAATCACCTGATGTGCTCAGCCCAAAGGCATGGCAGGGCTGAGCTGGGTGTCTCTGCAGCGTTTCAGTGCACGAGGGAGCTGCTGTAGAGACCCTGGTGTGGGTGCAACACACCTGGCAGGCTGTTCCAGCTAACTTCAGCAGAGGTAGTGGTGATGCTTGGGTTGCAAGGGAGAGGGGATTGATGATAAGGTTTAAGGATGGATAGCTATTTTGTAAAGCCAGGCCTAAGCTAGACTCTCTCTCCCTCCCACACATGTTCCCCTGGGACTCAGTCAGTCAATTTATGGAGCAATCTGCCATAGATGATGTGATTTTCAGATTGATTTTCACAGATCTACATCATGGCCATCCTGAATGATGTGAGGGGGTTTTTTCCCTTCCCAAAAGGGGAAGAGCAGAGAAGAAAATAAATCCAAGGTTATATTTCCCAGCAAAGGTTCGTCCTATGGTATCTGGGCTTCGGACAACAGTGTCACATCTCTGGGTCCTCTGGGCAAGGGATGGAGCGTGCAGGACCATCAGCCAGAGCAACAACTCCCAGCTGCCCACTCCCTTGGTCTCTGAAGTGTTGACAGGGGCCTGCAAATATCTTTATTTCATTGCTAGTTTACTTTAGGGGGAAAAAAAAGTGCAATCAAGTTTGTTTTTTTTTTTTAGGTTCTTCTCACTGATCAAAAGGTGGACCCCATTTACACAGCCATAATTTTTTAAGGACCTGTCCCAGCTTGAGCCCTTCTTCCTCCAGCATGTGATATTGTGCTGTATCAGCAAGTCTCACCTCCTTAACAGCCAGGAGCACATTAGGAAACCAGCGTGAGCTGTGCGAAGGAGCTGTGAATTAGCAAAACCTCCCCTGCCCCTTGGCAAAGCCTCGTCTTACACCTCCCAGCAGGAATAGCTACAGCTGCTTTCTGCAGCAGAAGTGAGAGCAGAGAGGGTGTGATGGGGGGGAGGCAACGGGACAAGCCATGAATCCTTGCATCCTCTCAAGGACACAGCCTTGGGTCACAGCCAGTCTGCCACCCACAGCCTGGGCTATCCACAGGGGCTTTGCTGCAGTCCCCACATGCCTGGTGTCTCCAGCCATGCGTGTCCCATGGAGGATGGATCACCCCGCTGCGAGGACAAACATCCTCATCCCCAGGTCTCAGTGATCGCTGAGGGATGGAAGATGTTCCAGTGGGTCAGGCAGCAGGGAAGGAGCGCAAGGAAGGGTGCAAGTCAGTCAGAAAAAGCCCACCCGCTCCTCTTTGCTTCTTGGGGGCATTTTTGTGATGAATGTTGGCAAATCCCTGCTTTGCCCGGTGTTGATTTGGGAAGAGGGAAATATTCCCACCCTGCTCTTCCGCACCTGCAACATCTCAGCGGCGCCAGCAGGGACGAAGACCTATGGCTGAGAGAGAAACGGGCAGATAGGATTATCAGTCACATGTGCCACCACTCTCTCCTT